AAGAACTATTCTAATCCAAAGTTGGAAACACTTCCACATTTTCCCCATGAAGCAGTTCCAAAGGCCTAAGAACCACATGGTCAGGTTAACCACAGCACTGTCCCCAGTTCTCAGCAGCAACACTCACTTGGTGTCTTAAATCTGTCCAAAGCAGCTTATGGAAGGAAAAGTTTGCTTCCGTTCACACCTCCACGGTGGGGCATGCCAATGTTCTCTAAACTGAAACACTCTACCCTGGAGGTAATGTCACAGAAGACTAAAAATTCTAAAAGGAGACTTTTAAGACTTGAGAAGTGAAGAAATCTGGTCTAAGGAAATTCTAAAATCTTCCCTGATTCAGAGGCCCCTCCTCCTCCAAGGTTATATGCGCAGTAAGAACTGCTGAAGAGACTCTTGGGCCACTTGAGCTGCCTGCAGGTTGTGCAGTGTGCTCTGGGGTTCCAGCTTTTGTGGGCTGTCACTCATGCTGAGGTGTGCTTCTGAGGAGGCAGCTGCCTTTGTGTCGTCCAGATCCTATAAGAAACCCTTCACCCACACTACGGTAAGTAACCCCAATAAACTCATGGTTCCAGGTTGGACTTCGCTGGTGTCGCTACTTTGGTCCAGTGTGGATTCCCTATTGGGGGAGACGTTTGCTCACATCGCCCCAGGAACAGCATCGCACAGCACAGGGTTCAGCCTGTTAGGACAGAGAAGTCATGGCAGCAGGAAGCTGAGGTAGTGAGCCACACTGCATCTTCAGTCAAGAAGCAGAAAGCGTCTGGGGTTTAGCGTGATTTTCCTTCTTCTGTTCTAGAACACTAGCCTAGGTGATGGTGCTGCCCACATTTAGGGGGAGTCTTCTTCTCACCTCAGTTACTCTGATTAAGATAACCCCTCACAGGTGTGCCTAGATCCTGTCAAGTGACAATAAACGTTATCCATCACATCCCGTTCTGTTCTCCTCCCTATTCTATGCATCTTCCAAACTGAACGTCATAAGGCCTCGTTCCATGCTGGGTGATGGAATGCTGTCACCCTGTATTTGATGGTAAACTGCATCACATTTCTGTGCTGCCATCGCAGAGGACAGAGAAGGCTGGTTTTGTTTTTTTGTTTTTAATATATCTCTTCTTTTTAAAAAGTATTTTTTTTGTTTTTGTTTTTCGAGACAAGGTTTCTCTGTGTAGCCCTGGCTGTACTAGAACTCACTCTGTAGACTATGCTGGCCTGGAGTGCTGGGATTAAAGGCCTGCACCACTGCCACCCGGCTAAAAGAAATAAATTTTCACTTGCGTGCCATACATACTAACTACTCCTATAGCGATTCCTCTCCACTGCTTGGAACTCCATTTTACCCTCCCTTTGAGTTATCTACTCGGAGAAACTCCAGCCTCAGTGCTCGAATCTGGCCCTGGGCCTAAGAGATTAGTTACTGCATTTTTACGTACAGCCTGGTTGAAGAGCAGCAGTTCCCAGGCTGGCAGGAGACAACGACTCACCCTGCACAAACATGAGTTTCGGTGGGTTTGGAACAAGCCCAGAGTTGACTTGTGCGGAGCCGAGTTCATTCAACAGAAGGGAAGCAGCGGGCATGAGAAGTGATGGGAAGCACAGCGGGGTTCACGGTCCTGTCTCCAGCCTGTGTCGCTGCAGCCCGTCCCACTTCTGTCTATTCGGAAGTATCAAAGACATCCCTCGGGAAAGGCTCAGCCTGCCACGAAGTATACCTTGTGCAGCCTTTGCTCTGCTTCCCGCCTTCAGAGTCAAACTTTCCTTTTCTTGCAATATGTGCTTCATCTAAAACGCCTCTCCAACAGCTGCCGCTTCCAGCCGTACATAAATCTGTAACAAGCTAAGCACCTTGGCGCAGCACACTGCACACAGGGCTCTGAAGATCCAAGGAACTTTTCCTTACAAAGTCCCTGTATGCTTTTGGAATTCAGGGGGAATATTGACAAAGCGCCTGCATGATCATATAAATTCTTAGACATTGTCTCAGTAAATAGCCAGACCATGGCGTAGAGTTAGTCAGATCCCCCATGTCAACTTTACCTCAGCAACAAACATGTACCCTGGCTAGGGAATCCAGATTGCTAATTGCCAGAAGCTGTTTTATACAGAATGGAAAACAGCTAAGCCATGAGAGTGCCATCTCTTCCAGGTGGCATGGTTAATATTTAGACATAGTGATCAGCACCATCTTGAGATGTCAGCCACTATTTAAAAACAAGTACTGAATCTCTGAAGACCATCAGGCAAGATCTGTGGCTCCTAATTAGACCTACCATGCAACTAAATATCCAAGTATCTAAATATCTAAGTATCTTCTGTCCATTAGCACTTATCTCTCAACACAGTTGAAAGAGGTAAATTTCTCCAACAGGTAATCAAGGATGCTTGGTATATGTTTTGCTTAATCTCAGTTTTGGAACAAATAACCTGTCTTTTAAAGCCAAAGAGATGAGTTCCAAAGATAACCTTTCATTAAACCGGTATTAGTACAATTAGAGACTATTCCCTACTCCCTGCCTAAACACTGGGATGAGGCTGTGGTGTGGGGTCAGAACCAGTCCAAGTTCTTCAATTTTGCATTTATCCAGCTTGCATTCTCCCAGCCATACTCAACAGACGAGCAACCTTCCATGTCTACTAATGACCTAGCGACATCAACACTGCGGCACAGTCCATGTCCCCAGACATCCAGGAGAAACCAGATCTTTCAGTGTCACTGTGGGGATGGATCACCACAGAATATCAGCAAATCTCCAGAAGGCGCAGTGCCTTCTGGGTAAAGATGCATAACTCAGTATGCTCACCCTTTCACCTCATTTCTCTCCACCCCCAGATCCCACCAACTCCCCACCCCACATTGCCTTACAAGGCTATGCTGAAAGTTCCTGGAATTGGGGGAATATGAGAAAAGTCCAGGCATCAGATGTGGGCCAGGGCATTCACTGTTTAACCTTTAACAAAAAATATGCCTGGGATCCATAAAATCTCCTAAAATTCTAGCGGTTAAACAGTTTTTGTTTTATGGTTTAGCAGAACCCCACAGGCAATGACTGAGGGTTAGGGTTAGGGTTACTACTTAGCAAAACAGTTTGTTGATAGAAACGTCTCTGGGGCACCAGAAATAACAGTTCTCGGGGCCCCTGAGGTCTTCATGATTGCACGCTGTCTTTTTCACTCCCAGAATCAAATGTAATGCCTAGAAACATATATTTGTGGCACAAATGTTACTTTAAACCCATCTTAGATATTATTCAGGCAAAATACTAGTATGTACGCTGAATTTGACAGTCCACCTCTAGGACCATCCTGATTTGGAGGATAGTACTACAGCAGTTATGTATGCACCCTATCATTTTCTGTTTATATGTAAATACATATGCACACAGTTGCTTTGCATATATTATGCTGGGCTCATTATTTACCTTAGAGCCATGAATTAGCACTATCATTTTTATACATAACTTATCCCCATTGAAGGATGTTTTAGGTCACTTCCTTTTTTATTTATTCAAGTTTTTGTTTGTTTTTTTGAGACAGGATTTCTCTTTGTAACAGTCCTGGCTGTCCTGGAACTTGCTTTGTAGACCAGGCTGGCCTCGAACTCACTCAGATCGGCCTGCCTCTGCCTCCCAAGTGTTAGATTAAAGGTGTGCGCCACCACTGCCTGACAGTCGCTTCCTTTTGTATTACTTCATTGCTTGCATGTTTTCATTTCCTCTTTAAAAAAAAAATTGTATTTATTTATATTTTATGCATGAGTGTTCTGCATGTACACTTGCACACCAGAAGAGGGATCAGATCCTATTATAGATGGTTGTGAGCCACCATGTGGTTGCTGGGAATTGAACCCAGGGCCTGGAAGAGCAGCCAGTGCTCTTAATCACTGAGTCATCTCTCCAGCCCCCCTTTCTTCTTAGTACAGATGGAGCCATGTGTCCTGGTGTATTCATCTTTATAGTGAGGCTCAAATGTGTCTGTAGGGCAGTTTCCTAAAATAGGAAGAGCTGAGTCAAATATTTTGATATTAATAGCTATGGCTAAATTGACTTCTAGAAAGACCTGGCCAATTAGTACTTATCACTGAGAATTGTAAGTGCATATACCTAAAAGGCTGGTGATCAAGAACTGTTTCTCTCATGTCTGCACTTGGTGCTACTGGATTCCTTTGTTCCTCCTCCCTGGGTGGCCACACTGAATAAATCTCTTCCTGTTTTCTGTTGTAATTCTGTAATTGGCCTAAGGGGACAGGTGCCTAAGCATGGCTTGTTGGTGCTGCTGGAATCCAGGCTTCATCTAAAAACCCGTTACATGATGGAGTGCATGGATCCATTACCGGCACTGAAGTCCCTCCAATATGCAGCCTAGATCCTGCCAGGTCCGGGATCTCACTGCAGTGCTGGGTACCGGCCAGTCATCAGGACTTTCTATGCTCACAATGGGATCAGCTTCTAAGTTTTTCAGAGCTGGCTTCAGATGACTTAAAGAATCGTGAGGCCCCACATTTTCCCACATCTTAAGATTTCTAACAGGAAAGCTATTTTATGAATTAAGGTTTGGTGGACTTTACATGCAAAGCTAGGGATTCAGTGAGCTAGGAACTGACCTCTGAATACTTCCTAGGCCTCGATCTATTAAGATTTTAAAATACCTCAATAAGTAAATTTTAATAATTGTATTTTTCTAAAAGTCATATTCATGTAGATCCACAAATTGAAGAAAAATTATATATACCCCTTTACAAAATGTCCATATTTTGCAGTGGTAACCCTTTCTACCTCTAATTCCTGTCTTTCTCTTGTGAAGAGTTGTCAACTTTATTGATCATTTCAAAGACTATTTTTTGTTTTATTAATCAAGTCTATTGCTTTTTTTAGTCCTTCATCTTAAGATCTTCAGTCTGTCCTGTTTTTCCTGGTTTTATATGGATACTTCTGTCTGGTTTGGGGGGTAAAACACCTAGTTCGTTTATTTTTCACATTTAAAACAAAATATTCACCAAGCATATATTTGTGTATCACACAATGTTGTAATTATTTCTAACTTCCAATTTCCATCTGATATTTTCCCCACAAAGATGATTTTATTCAGATTAAAATATCACATTTGTTAGTGTGGTGATTAATGTTACCAATTTAAGCGAATCTAGAATTCCCTTCTCCTTCCCTCCCTTCCATCTTCGGGCAGGGGACCCTGCCACGTATAAGCAGAGAAAGTAAGATGAGCACTAACAAGCATCCATCACTTTCTGCCTCTTCAGTCACTGAGGATACAATGAGATCAGTTCCTGCTGCCTCAACTTCTCCACGATGATGGATTGTGTGGATGTGAGCCAAAGCAAACCTTCATCTTCTTAAGTTCTTCTGTCCTTAGTATTTGATCACAGCAGCAGGAGATGAAGCTAAGATAGTTGGGTGTATTTTTCTTGTCCTCCAGGTGTTGGCTTCTGCAGGCCTTCCTCCCAGACTCCACAGATCTGATTCTCCCCCACGTCTGGGTTCTCTGGCCATCGCTGGTAGTGTGAGAGGCTGAGCTCACACCTAACAGAGTTTAAAATGCAAGGTTAATACATGATGCTGATGGAAGCCTTGAGTTTATAGTTTGATTTCAAAGAATATTTGCTACTATACCTATCTTCATCTATCATGAAAATGAATGTCTCCCAGGCTAATCCTAAGCTTTGGTATCATTTTCCTTTGAGATGTCTGTTCCTCACTGTGTGGGCTGGGCTGCTCACTGGTGACCCACAGAAGAGGCTCACACTGACTGCCCTCCCACTTCAACAGCATCTTATCCTTGATGCCAGACTACACTGTGACGGTCTATTTGTTTGGCACCAGTACTGCTGCTCATCTGAGAAATTCTGACCCAGCAGGTCTGTGATGCAGCCCAGCACTTATCTTTTAAAAGATTTTCAGAAGGAATTGTATAATCAAGTTGAAAATCAGTTTTAATAAATGTAAATTAAGATATATACATAATAACAATTAAAGAAATAGAAGCCATGAATATGAGAGTGGGGGGGCAGTACATAAGAGTTACAGGGAGGGGAGAGAGAAAATCATTATATTAGGTGTTTTTCTGTTGCTGTGATAAAAACACCATGACTGTCTTAGTTAGGGTTTCTCTTGCTGTGAAGAGACACCATGACCACAGCAATTCTTATAAAGGAAAGCATTTAATTAGGACTGGCTTACAGTTTGAGGTTTAGTCCAATATCATCATGGAGAAAAGCATGGTGGCACACAGGCAGACATGGTGCAGGAGAAGGAGCTGAGAGTTCTACATCATGATCCACAGGTGGCAGAAGGAGACTGCCCACCAGGCCTAGCTTGAGCATATGAGATCCCAAAGCCTGCCTCCACAGTGACATACTTCCTTCAACAAGGCCATACCTAATAGTGCCACTCCCTATGGACCAAGTATCCAAATACATGAGACTATGGGGGCCATTCCTATTCAAACCGCCACAATGACCAAGGCCACTTATGGACAGAAGGGTTTATTTGGACTTATAGTCTAGAGGGATAAGAGTCCATCACCATGGGTAGAGAGCATGGGAGCAGGCAGGGCACTGAAACAGCAGCTGAGAACTCACATCCATATCCACAGACAGGAGGCGGAAAGTACTCTGGGGATGACAGGAGGCTTTTGAAGCCTCAAAGCCCATCCCCAGGAACATATATCCTCCAACAAGACCACACCTTCTAATCCTTCCCAAACAGTTCCACCAACTAGGGACCAAGTGTAGCAGGAATCTTAAAAGTTCTTATTAATAAAAACAAACCTGGAGCCAGGTATTGGGGTGAATGCTGGAAGATCAGAGAAACAGAACAAGGCACAGTTTCCTCACCTCCACATTCCTTAGCTGATCCCATTTCCTCAGACTGGAAGCCTCTGAGTCCTCATCCAGAATGGATCTCAGCTGAACTGTGCTGCTCAAAGCCTAAAAGCTTAACCAGCCAAAAGCTTCTAGTTTCTGGTCCTCATGCCTTATATACCTTTCTGCTATCTGCCATCACTCCCTGGGATTAAAGGCCTGTGTTACCATGCCTGGCTGTTTCCAATGTGGCCTTGAACTCACAGAGATCCAGAGGGATTTCTGCCTCTGGAATGCTAGGATTAAAGGCGTGCTACCACTGCCTAACCTCTATGTTTAATATTGTGGCTGTTCTATTCTCTGACCCCAGATAAGTTTATTAGGGTGCACAATATTTTGGGGAACACAATACCACCACAACCAAGTATTCAAACATATAAGTGGCCGGGCGGTGGTGGCTCACACCTTTAATCTCAGCACTTGGGAGGCAGAGGCAGGCGGATCTTTGTGAGTTTGAGGCCAGCCTGCATTACAGAGTAAGTTCCAGGACAGGCTCCAAAGCTACACAGAGGAACCCTGTCTCAAAAACAAACACACACAAAAAACATATGACGCTATGGGGGCCATTTTCATTCAAACCATCACAATTATGTAATTCTATTTTAATTTTAAAAGTTAAAATAATTAAATTTAAATACTAACTACTGTACAAATATTCACTCCTTGACAATCACATCTTTTAAAGTCTTCCTCTCCACCAGTCCCTGTGTTCTCATTATCACAATGCAACAAGACAAACGCCCTCTGCTTTCATTATCTCTGAGCTTCTCCAGTACTGGAATCAGTGCCGTGGTTTCTCTCCACCACTGTACCCGAGAAACCCTGCAATCCTGCTTCTGTCCACACCGCACTCCTCTTTCTGACACGGCCCCTAATGTCTCAATAACTACACGTCCACTCCACAAATAGCACACCACATACCATTATCTTCTGCATTCTACTCTTAAACACTAGCAGCAGTGGAGGAAGTAGACAAAAACCTCTGTCCTGATGGAGCTTACATCCTAAAGGAGAAAAGAAAACCTAAATTACACACTGTGGAAAGAAATCATGTTACAGAAAAACTGAGTGTGAGGAGGGGATCAGGCGTGTCAGGTGGTGGATGCAGAGATACTGATACTGGGTGGCTCATGAGGGCATTAGGCATTTAGACTAATTCCTGAGGAAGTGAACAAGTATCCCAAGAAGCTTGTGCACACATCAAAAACAGCACCGCTGTGTTCTCGCTGTACTGCTAGTGTAAGGCAAAGACAAGGTCTAGAACACAACTCTGCACAAATGAAGTAAGACAATATTTAGTACGTAATTACATTAGGACGGCAAATGCTAACGTCAACCACCACAATTATTATCACTTCTTTCTCGTGTTTAGAGGTGGAACTGCACAGGTTGGGAGGACTAGCAGGAAGACCCCCTCCCCCATGAGACTCCTAACCAACAAGGAGAACACCATAAAGAAGGGCTGGATGCAGCTTGTGGGTGTGTGGTTCCCCTTCACTGTGCAAACTGAACTCTGCAGATTAATGGAAAGAAAGGTAGCATCCATTTGTTCTTAGCTTTGCATTGCCATTCTATGCTCACAGTCGGTATGTTTCTGTTACAATGAATACTTGCAATCACTACCATCTTTAGAAAAAAGTCTTGTATAAAGAAAGTCATTTGGAACCAAGTGACAATGTACTAAATAATCAAGTATCCCCCATATTCTTGTCTCCAGCTTCCCGAGGTCCTAGAAAACCCTCTACCTCTCAAAAGATCAACTAAACACATTTGCTGCAAAAATTAAACCTAAGTGAGACACACACAGGAAATAACTCTATGATCAAGGCTGGAACACAGTTTAAATTCACTGAACACTGCGTTGGACAGCATTTGTTCTAAATTGATGTTTAGGATAATCTTTTTTTCTTTCTTTCTTTTTGGTTTTTCAAGACAAGGTTTCTCTATGTAATAGCCCTAGCTGTCCCAAAACTCCCTCTGAAGACAAGGCTGGCCTTGAACTCAGAGATCCACCTGCCTTTGCCTCCTAAGTGCTGTGATTAAAGGCATGTACCACCATGGCCTGGCTAAGACAATTACTTTTTAAAAACAAGTTTTTTTTTTTTTTTTTTTTTTTTGGTTTTTCGAGACAGGGTTTCTCTGTGTAGCTTTGCGCCTTTCCTGGAACTCACTTGGTAGTCCAGGCTGGCCTCGAACTCACAGAGATCCGCCTGGCTCTGCCTCCCAAGTGCTGGGATTAAAGGCGTGCGCCACCACCGCCCGGCTTAAAAACAAGTTTTTAAGCTGGGTGTGATGATGCATGCGGAGGCAGAGGCAGGACCATCTCTGTGAGTTCAAGGCCAACCTGGTCTACATAATGAGTTCCAGGACAGCCAGGGTTACAGAGAAAGATTGTCTCAAAATAAACAGACAGACAGACAGGCAGGCAGGCAGGCAGGCAGCCAGATAGATAAGCAAGCAATATTGCTTTTGAGCTGGGGATGTGGCTCAGAGGATTTGCATAGGACCCAGGATTCAACTCCCAGCACTGCATAAATCAGGTGTGATGGTACATGTCTATAAACCCATGGTATGGAGACAAAAATAATGCTATATCCAAGGCCCTCAAGAATAAAGAGAGAACAGAAGGTGTGAGTGTTAATCTTGGTTGGTCAACTTGATTGGATCTAGGATTAGTTAAGCCATGTGTCTCTGGGCAGGTCTGTGAAGGTATCTCCCAGGATAACCCCCCCCCCCCCCCGGAACCCCCAGGCGGCTGCCACCCAAAGGTACAGATCTAAGGCTATGAGGAAAGTAATGCGGCTTCTGTCACCCACCTTCACTCCCTGTTGTGAGCATGTCAACCCACTTCTGCCTCTGCTGCAGCCATCCTTTATCAACACTCTGATCTCCATTCTTTGGCCTTCTAAAGTGCAACAAGGATCAGCAGCTCTCCGGAATCCTCTAGGCTACCAGCGCCGGAATGGGACTGCTGAGGACTTCAGCCAGCCTCATGTACTGGGCAGCTTCTGGTCCTCTGCCTCTCCAGGGCAAAGGCAGCCATGTGGACTAACCAGCCCTCACCATGTCGGCCAATCTTATAAATCCCCCTATAGCATATTCCTATCAGTTGTGCTCTTCTAGAGAACCTAACACAGAAGGGAAAAACACGTTTGCAAATAAATCAAAGTAACTAGTAAGAGTATAGAGAAATATTTATTTTGTCCTTCTTTAGTTTAAGTAAAATTTAACATTGTACAATTACATGGAGAGACTCATATATACTAAGAAACCATACTCAACACCTTCTGTTCTTCTAAGACGCGCATTTTGTTTCCTCTTAAAGCATGACACGGTGTTTCCAGCTCACTGCTTCATGATGATACACTCCAGCTCTGTGTGTAGACTCCGCTCACAGTGAAAACTGCGCTCCTAGAAACTCTAAGCTGCCTAAAATGAAGAGCTACTGAGAGCTTGGTTCAAGGGCAGGAGTGAGGAGATGTACCTCATTAACTTGGAGCAGGGCCTTCTTAGAGGCCAGAACCCTAACCATGGCAGGGAACTTTCCCCTCTCGGCCAAGCTGAGGAGACTCTCTGAGAAAACTATGGCCAGAAGCTTTTCTGCAGCCTAAGTGTAAAGCTACACAGTGCAAGTGAAGTAATCAAGAAGGGCATGATGTGAAAAGAGCTGAAGTTGTGGGGTGTGCAGAAAGCATTTCCCTGCAAGGTGAGCATCGCTTCCCTATGGGATAACAAGATCATTTCCATCATCGGTTGGTTCATAATTTCCCCAGGATCCAAAGGACAAAAGCATGAATGAAATCACAAGCCACATCTAATGAATTAGAAAAATACCAGACACTGCATGGCTGTCATTTTGATCAAGTCGAGCTTTGGGGGGAGGGGGGGGGACTCTAAACAGCAGTGGAGGGCTATGCCTCCCACAGTTCTGCGGTTGCCTGGATAAGCTTGCATAGTACACTACAAAGGTCAAAGGTGTGTACAACCTATGGCTTTTATTCGCAGTATGTAAAGTATATGAAAAATATCAGTCCCTGCCTAACCTCGTGACCTGCTTCCACTGACAGATGAATTAAATAGACACCAAGCAGGCAATCACATAAAGTCCACCTACTTCACTGATGGCTGGTGTTTCAAGTGCAGAGAACTATTAAAAGAAGTAAATGATTACTGAAGTGCCTACTCAGTTTCTGGATGTTTCCCATAAAGAAAAAGCAAATCTGAGTTTTATATTATTGTAGAAAAGTTACTTTTTCCTCTTCATAAACCTTTTTGCTTCTTTCAAAAGCTCTTCCACATCTTCCTTCTCATCATCCTCTCCTGGTTGCCAGTCTGAATCCTCATCTGTCGGCTCATATCCTTCTTCCTCATCCTCGTCGTCAGCAAAGCTGTCATTCGGGTCCTTCTCACTGGGCCGCCCAACATCATCACTATCTTCATCTAGAGCCACTCTGACTGAAAAGCAGAACATTGCAAACAACACATCAATCACTACTCAAGCTGGGATGAGGGATGTCTGTCATAAAATGTCTCCCTGCAGCAAGAATTAATTACTATATAGCCTACTACTTTAAGTTTTAGAACAGGTACTGAAATGACTTTTTGTTTCTTATTATTCTAACTCTCCACACTGTGAGATTCTGTGACTAGCCTGGCCTGTGAGAGTCAAAGCAATGGTCCCTAGTAAGACCATGCTGTCCAGACCTTCACCCCAGCTACGCTATGCCTTGCTGATAGGAATACTCTCCCATCCCCACTAAATCAGCCAAAGGTCAAGTGGTGGCACCATGTGCCACTTGTGAGTAGATGTTTAGAAACTAAGAACCAACCAGGAAGCCTTTTCTCTGGAAACCTCGGTGACAGAGGGCAGTCCCCAAGCAGCAGGAGCTTAGGAAACTCCTGTCAGGCCTGGATTCTCTACAGACTGTCCCAGGTCCTGTCTGCCTTTCCTCTGATCTTGGACCCCAAACTGCTGTAGGGGAAGGTTTCCTGATAGACTCCCCAACTGTGTTCTTACTCTTTCAGACTCTGAATGATCTCTTAAAGTAGGGACTAATTCTCTGATGAACTTTACTTCATCTAATGGAATTAAATATTGTTTTTAAATCTATAAAGTAATTAAAGTATTTCAAAGATCTTCCGTAACTCTATAATCATTTTAAAGCCAAAATAGGAATCTTCACTATCTCTACAAATCAGTGGGACAATGTGAACTGTGAAAATGGACTGGCAGCTTGACTACTTGAAGACAGAAAGGAGAAATAAGCTGCCGTTTATTTTTACCAACTGATGGAAAACACTTCATTACCATGATGGTGAAACACCTTTTAGAAAAAGCAATAACTACAAGTTTGACTTCCCATTGTTCACCAGACCGTACTAGGATGCGGCCATGTCGGCCTCTAAGCCTGCAGGGAAATGTTGGCCTTCTCTAACTCTCTAATTACTCTAATTCTGCAGAGGAAGCCGTAAGAATAACACAACATAGTAAGAACTGTAGGAGTGGCAGAGCAGTTCTGGGGCTGGGGACACAGCTCAGTGGCAGAGCTCCTGCCTGGCACAAACCACTGGGTGAGTTCCAAGGAGAACCACTCCAATGCTGCTATGCATGCTTCATAGCAGATTGACAGCTCAATTCTTCAGGTTTTATCTTCCTTCTTCTTTCCCATGAATATTCTTTCCTCTAGAGAAGGAAAATTTACTATATGCTATGATAATATTTTTAATAATGTTTCATTTTATAACCAAAGACTAGTTTTTTTTTCTTTTTTTCTTTCTCTTCTTTTGGTTTCTCAAGACAGGGTCTCTCAACAGCCCTGGCTGTCCTGAAACTCACTTTGTAGACCAGGCTGGCCTCAAACTCACAGAGATCCGCCTGTCTCTGCCTCCTGAGTGCTGGGATTAAAGGCGTACATCACTACTGCCTGGATCAGTTTGTCTTTGTAACGTATCAAGACGGCAGTAGGTTTTCACACTTGTAAACTCCTGTTGCGCTTTACCACACCACCGCACCAGCTCTGACAGCCCACACGCCTTTACCCTCTCAGCCCTTCCCGTCTAAGCAGCAGCTCTGACAGCCCAGGTGAGCCTGTTGCTCTTCTTGAATCACTTTCTTTCTAGATCTTTGGGTTCCGTTTCTTGGGGGAACGAGGGGACATATCAGTGTGTGCACACCACTACAGAAGTTCAGAGACTTTACAGCAGCTCTCAGTAATCACTCTGAGTTCTTGAAGCAGCATCAGTTGCCTAGAAGGATGCATACCACATAGCGAGGGGCTTGAAAGAACAACTCCGAAAGTCAGAGGTGAATGCTGGCGATAACTGCTTTGACATGCCATCAAAAGGTAGGGCAGCAGCAATATGACACAATTTTCCTGGCACTGATTTCTTGCGCATTCACTATCATGTGCCAAACCTCTAGCACTCTGAAAATATGTGGAAAGCTAGTAAGAAATCATGTTAGCTAGATACAGAAGAAACGTGGCTGACGGCAACAGAACAATACACAAGCAATGCAACCCCTTAGCCACAACATGTAGTAAAACTCTGGACCCAGCGTTTCAGGAGGGCTACAACTGAGAAACCAAATCCCAGAGTCTAAGTGGTTGCTTTAATGCTGATACTATGCTATACTGTATTATCTTATGTGGTCAGGAGTGTCCACCTCAAATGCAATATGTTTAATTTTTTAAAAAGAAACAAAAATGGACCTAGTTCTTTCTCCTTACTTCTACTATGTGGAATGTCATCTCCATTCTCCTGATCACCTGCACTACCGTCCAAGGTCATGGCTGTTTCCTTTCCCTCATGCTGGCCTTCATTCCATGGCACATCAGTTGGCAAGTCCTATTGATTCTTTCAAGACCTCTTAGCTTTGTGGTACTTCTCATATCCCTGTGACCTTCCTCACACAGAAGACACATGACACTTGAAAAAATGAGTGTGTGAAGAAATACATATATGAGCTTAGGAGCTGGGTAATGATAAACGTTAAACATTTGGGAGATGAGAAAAACAACTGTCAGAATTCTGTCTTAGATATCTCTGAATTAGGAACTCTTGAGACCCTAGCCTTTAACTTAACATTGAAAGTATTCAGGCTCACAAGTTTCAGAGGAGGAAAAGGTGTTCTGATTACATCAGCACACAGAGATTCCCAAGAGTTCAGAGTTGCTCCCTTCTTACAGCTGTCCTAAGATCTCCAGGGGAGCTTGAAGTCAGTACACACACACACACACACACACACACACACACACACACACACACACGTCCTATGATAAAGTCTGATTTGTCCCTGGGCACAGTAAGAGACTAATAGCAACAATAATGAAATGGAATAGATAACGACAGTAGTTAAAGCTTATGAGTTACTTATTTCGGGACCTTTCTATTTGCTCTCCTCAGACAAATACTGACTGCAAGTAACTGAAACAGTGGGCAGCGATACCCAGTTAAACAGCGGTCTAAATGTGTGTGCTTCTGGGTTGCTAATAAGAAAAAGTAGCTGCCCAATACAAAAAAAAAATTTCTTTAAACATTCACTGTTGAATGTTGTAATTATATTAATCTCAAAAAATATTTTAAGTTCACAGTTCTAAAGTATATTCTTCATTTAGAAAACACTTCCACAAAATCCCAACAAACTTTTCAAAGATTATTCAGACATTTTAAACTATGCTATATGATGCATATTGACAGCTTTTAGGTAAATAGTTCCTATTTTGATAAAGATACACAAATGTCTTCTTTTAAAGATTTTATTTATTTATTATGTATACAGTATCTCATTATAGATGGTTGTGAGCCACCATGTGGTTGCTGGGAATTGAACTCAGGACCTCTGGAAGACCAACCAGTGCTCTCAACCTCTGAGCCATCTCTCCAGCCCCACAAATGTCTTTATATGGGACAATATATTGGCATAATCTGCCAATAAAATAGTTAAATAAATATCATTGCTGGAAAATCATTAAATCCAACCCAGTAAAGAGATTCTGTCATGCAACGGCCCCAGAGCCTGCTAGCCAAGACAAAGGGGTCCATTTATGTCTAGAGTACTAACACACTTGAGTGGTCAACAAAGAGGTTCTCGGTGGGTTTCTCTCATTGCAAGTTATCTTCATGGTTTGGACACAAGCAGGTTTACACACGTAGATACAAAGTCCTGACAGCATTTGCTTTACTCTCCCTCCTCATGGGCACAGACACTATCTGCTGACGTAGTCCTTCCGTTATATACACAACCCAAAGAAACTGAGGTTTATTGAAAGGAAAATTCTTTTTTTTCTAGGAAAATTCTTAAAGAGCTCAAAACCAGGTAAAACAATGGTCAACTGGACAGCTACAAGTTTACACTCTACAGGATGCCCACAGTCCCAGTGGTACTGGAGAAGGTTCATGCTCTGGTTCAGAATAATAACCAGCTACTGTGATTGGCTCAAAGGGAAGATTTGGTCTAGGCTAGTTGAAGGAGGGAAATTCAGCCTTCCTTCTAATAATCATGAATCAGAAGGTGTTCCTTCTTTCCTCAGATGTCAGCACTGATTCTACTGCCCCACTTAATAAGGCTGTAAAAATTCCTCTAGTTGAGAGGAAGTACCTGGAGAAGGAACAGTCCTCTATGACAGAATGATGAAAGGAGATGAGGAACATGCTGACAGTAATAACCAGCCAACACAATAAGCACTGTGCAAAACCAGGCCCGCCCTTGGGCTTTTCTGTTACGGAAGTCAACACGCTTTCATCACTGCTCATACCAGTTTCTATTTTGTTCTCACATACTTAAAAACAAAAGATGCCTAAAAGACACAGGAACATCATATACTGCTGGGCTATGACTGGGAAAAGCATTTGCTATATATAAACTTATAAGTTTTTCCTTTATTTGGACAGGAAATTGTTATGGTGCCCAAGCTGGCCTCAGACTTGAGGCAATCCTCCCGCCTCAGCCTCCCAAGTGTTGGGATTCCAGGTTATGAGCTATCATACTCAGCTTCTGAAAGTTCATTTAAAAAAAAAATCAACTAAAAACTCATTAAAAAAAAACCTAGGAGAAATAATTCAAATCAGCAACAATAATTCACAAAAGCAACAATATTTTCTAAATAACTGGTTTAATGGGAGAATTACTTACAGGTTTCTTTTGAGTTTACCAAAGTATATATAGTTACTTACCCGGAAGTGCACTGTGTCTGTATTCCATCTTGTGCTGGGGGTTCTTCCTGAAAAAGAACAGGAGGCAAAAATAGGACAGGGTTCCCCAAAGACTGAAAAGTGCTAGGACGGTACGTGCATGCTCAGTAACCCAGAAATAACGTTAGGGCCAAGCAGCACCTTATGAAAGGATCTGGCCCCTGCCCCTGCCCCTGCCCCTGCCCCTCCTTCCCGCCTTTCCACCCCTCCTCTGCCTCCATCATCATCTTCATCACCGCCTGACGACCAGGCACGTGCCGCTCTGCCCAGTAGTGTTCGCCTTCTCGATGCGGTAGTTACTGAGTGTGCATCCCCTGCCAGGCTCAGTACTTCAGAACTCGGGAAACGACAGCAGAGAGAAGGCAGACAACTTAATGAACTGGATTTAAGAGCTTCATAATAATCAGATGACTAAATCTTCCACTTATAAATTACAGCACCAATGTAAAAATGTTCTTTTTTATCAGCTAAAACCTGTGCCCTTTGTTAAAATGTTCCACAATAAAATTTTATCTTTAAAGGACTATGATTTTCCTCTTCCGTGCCTCTGAAACTACTAGATAAAACAAATAACTTCTAATTATATGGAACCATCTCATATAAACAGTGGTTTCCTGGTTCTCAGCATTACCTAATATTTCATATCTGCTCCAAGTATTTTCCTTATTCCAGGCAATTGGAAGTCATTATAAAAACATAACTTTAAGTTAAGTAATAAGATTTAGAAAAATACAATGTCATTGCATGTAAGTTGTAATGAGTTTTATTTGATTTTAGTTAATTTAGTTAAATTATAGCTAACTTAACTAGCATATCGAACAACACAAATTTCAAACGAACAAACAAATACGGTAGAGCTCCCTGCTCACTCAAGAGCAATTTAAAATCGATTTTTTTAAAAACTCCCTCCTGCCAGGCGGTGGTGGCACACACCTCGGGAGGCAAGCCAGGTGGATCTCTGAGTTTGAGGTCAGCTTGGTCTACAGAGTGAGTTCCAGGACAGACACCAAAGCTACACAGAGAAACCCTGTCTCAAACCGCCCCCCTCAAAAAAAAAAAAAAACCTTCCTCCATAAAACATCTTCTACTGACCCTTGGGAAAAGTAACAGTTCTATCGATGGGAATGTCACTACTGAAAGGAGGGTGGGGATTAACACGAGGAACACCGATCAGAATCCCAGCCCAAGCACCCTCTCACAGACTAAGTGTCAGTGCCCCCGTCTGAGGAAATCTAACAACAGAGCCACACGCGGTGGAGACTGCAGCTTCATGGGTGGAGAGGCACTGCCAGTAACAGTTCCAGATCAGCCAGACTCCTTCCCAGGCCAGCCCCGGGCCAGGTGTCTGTGGCAGTCCTTGATGCTATATCTCTTTTTCACAACTTCTCCTGTGGGTGAGCATTAACAGTGCAAGGGGGCAACTGTACAGCTAATTAGAGTCATAACTCAACAGGCTCGGGGGCTGGAAACGAGTCTACTTAAGACTGTGGGGTAATTAACCTAAACCTGACCTTCTGTTGGAATGGAAACTTTGAGCTTGAGAAAAATGAACAAGACAACTGACATGTGCCCCCAGAGCTGCAAACAGCAAAGCTTCGGCACCTTCTCTACTGAACACGCTGGAGCAGGTGACTGACTCGTAAACTCAGTTCTTGTCAGTGCTGAGCATCAGGGAAGAAGGAACGGAAAAAAAACATGGACACCAAAGATCTTCCTCCTCCATCTAGGAAAAAGATTACTGGGCAGCTCAGGAGTTTTGTTAGTTTTTATTTTAAAAATTTCAAACCTACAAAAATGAAAGAATAGGCTACTGACAAATGTTCCTTCATCTCCTCTCCCCTCCCTTCCCTTCCCCTTCTTATCCACTTCCTCCCTCCCTCCCTTCCTTCCTTTTCTTTTCTTCACAGGTGCTGGGAATCAAACCCAGGGACTTGAGCATGCCAGACAAGTGCTCTAACCACTGAACTACAACCCCAGCTGGTAAGTATTATTTTCTACATGGATCACTTATCATTATCTGGGGTCATTTGAAACTTGAAGTGTTTTTTTTTCCTTTTTCCTGTGCACATGTTTGTTTCAGGTACCAAGGGGTCTTCCCCCCTTAATAATAGTTGAGCAAGATCATTGAAAAGTCAAATATGGTCTTAGCTGTTTATTACTTGAGTGTCTTTCAAAGTTTGGTTTAGAAATGCCAAGTACCTAAACATTGGGATTTGAAAACAAGTGAAGGAACTGAACCAAAAGCTTAGGCTGGCTGATGTGGCTGGCTGGCTAAGGGTGAAGCGGGCTGTAACTTTCAAAGGGAAGATGAAGATGCAGTGTCCTAAGATGGGGTGCAGTGGCCAGCACTGCGGCGTCACAATCACTCCTGCATCTGGTCCCTTCCCTCCATCTTCCCTTCCCTGGGTCTCTACTCGATGGCTGGATGGAAAACACTTCCATTTCCTCTCCAGCCTGGCTATCTTCACAGGGCTCTCTGCAGTTATAATTCAAACTCCTTCCCTGGTAGCTTGACCAGTGCTACAGGTCAACACCCAGTGGTTCAGCACTGACTTTTCTAGAGGGTTCTTGAACAAGACAGCACCCATGACTACAAAAGCCACAGATTCAAACAGGAACCTTCCAATCCCCCCCCCCCCCCCCATCACTGGGACATGATCCACGACCCAGAAGACAGCTTCCCCAGCACCTGCACTGCTACATGGGCTCCAAGATCCACATCTGGTTAAATCCACTCAACATTGAGTTCATTGTGACCCAAAGATAACATCATGCTGATGAGTGGGGGCCCACAGAGGCTCCCTAGTAAGGCCTTACTCCAGGTCAGAGAGTCTGAGCTTGCTTTACCCATCAGGGCTGCATAATGGGATGATTTGGCCAAGGGTGTGGTTACCAGGTGTTTTGAAGGGTCTACACTTGTTGGTACTTTATACTTTGACCTTGAAAGGGGGAAGCTCCTCCCCTTGCTTATGTATAAAAAGCCCATCATGATTAAACTCAGGGCGGCTGGGTATTAATCCAGGGCCCTTCCGAAGCTATCCTGTGTCTCTGTCTTTCTCTTCGACTAGGCCTTTATTTCTATCTAATACTTCTTCATTCCTCACTCCTTCCTGCAAGAACCCTTCAACAGGTTGGAGGCGGCCTCTGACAACTGAAGAAATAAGAAAAGCTGCTCACTCTCAACTCTTACTCATTATAATGTATGAAATCTCAGAGCAATAAGGCAAAGAAATAAAAGGGATACAAACAGGGGAGGAAGAAGTCAAACTAGCCCCTTTGTTAGTGATATGGTCCTCTCTTTAAGAGACCCTACTACACCCCCACCAGAAGACTTACAGTGGAAAGTTCCAGCAAAGTAGCAGGGTATAAAATCAACATCAAGCCGGGCGGTGGTGGCGCACGCCTTTAATCCCAGCACTCGGGAGGCAGAGCCAGGCGGATCTCTGTGAGTTCGAGGCCAGCCTGGGCTACCAAGTGAGTTCCAGGAAAGGCGCAAAGCTACACAGAGAAACCCTGTCTCGAAAAACCAAAAAAAAAAAAAAAAAAAAAAAATCAACATCGAAAGAACAACTTTCTACACACCAAAAGTGAACATGCAGAAAAAGAAGTTGGGAAAATAACCCAGTCACAGCAGCTGTGAAAAGTACCTAAACCACCAATGTGGAAGAGGCAGACAGCTCTCACTTAACCATTTTATGACTTTTCCAGTGAGGAAAAGTTTTTAAGACAGAAAATGCTAGCAGGATTAAAGAAAAAAGACAAACATACAAGTTAAGAGATTTAAAAATTCTGAAGAATTTTTGTTACTGAGTTCAGTACTCAGTAACAAAAACAGAATAAAATCAGTGAGAGCATAGAAAATCTGAGTAACACCATAACACATGATCAAATCAACAGAGAAACTAGCTTGGAGCATTTGCAGAATAGAAATTTAAGTACCCTTGGTATGTTCAATAAAAACAGGCCATGTGCAATAACTTACAGTGGCCACTAGATTCAGTCAATAATATGTACTCAGAGTTAGCTAAAAAAACAAAATGGCTGTCTGCATTAAAGCTCTTTAGGTTTGGGATTACTTTCTTTTGCAATCTGGTTAAATTTAAGTCTATTCACACATTAAACAAGGTTTCAAAATACCAAGAATCCTTTCTGTCAATGTAATATGCTTGCTGCTTGGTTGGGGAGACATTCTGGTAAAGAAAGATTGTGGTATGGAGAGGTCTACTCTGTCTGACAGAGGGGAGGGTGACAGTGTGGACATGCAGAGGGGAGGTTCTCATGTTCTTCAGCTGCCACTGAGTTCCAGGCGTTGACAAGAGGGGTGGATTAGTGGGAGCTGAGGAATCAGACAGAAATAGAGATAACATCCCCAATAGACTTACATATCACATCTCAGAGTCTTCATAGAGTATGTATTGGGATGTCTTATAAATTAAGTTGATTGTATTTTAGACAGAAATACAGAAAAACTTCAGGTACTTGGAAGATTGATAGCAATTTAGAATTATCTGAAAGAAAATCTGTGTTCCCCAAAAATTTAATGAAAACTATGCTACAGACTTAAGATGGAGAGCTGCTCCAGTCACCTGATTTCACATGGCGTGGAAGCATTTAGGGAGGAGTCAGCCACATGGCTCAGTTCCCTTACCTGTAACAAGATGCCCCATAGGGACACTCAGGCCTGTCACCAGTTACACCTTCATCTGTGACTTGTACATCTCCATAATCACTATCACCAGGGTGGCTGAAATGTTGAAAATGGAGAGGATTCTTCCTGTGAGAGTGATAAACAGAAGAAAAAAAATAACAGGAAGTTACGGGTTTACAGTGGCTACAGAGTGAGACCAAGAATACCCGATTATTCCAGAAAGGAACCAAACACCTGTGCTGATGATATAAAGACTGAGGACATCCCCATGCCATGTTGTTGACCAACCTGACAGAGTTGTTGGAAAATGGTCCAGGAATAAAGCTGTGTGAACAGAATTCTGGGTGCTTGTGAGAGAACTCCAAGGAAACAAGACAAGAGTCTTGTGACTTCAGTTTCGTCAAAACACAGAATTGTTCTTGGAATGTATTTTCATACTCCTCCCAGGTATAGCAGATAGGAGTACGTTTACTTCAAATTACTCATTATTGCTTGCTGCTGTTATTTCAATTAAATGTTTAAACTGTCCTTTATATGCCTACGTGGGAAAACATATTCCCACGTGTGGCTTGTCCTTGTATAGCTTGAACTCATGAGAACTTTACTCATGTAACCTTTCTTAACCCTCAGAATATAAATTGTCTGCGACTCTGAATAAAGTCGGCTATTGCATGAGACTATAATCCACCTCAGTTATTGGCTCTATTCTCCCATGTCCCACTGCCTCTAGAGCAGTGACATCTAATCATCAAAAGACTCCCAGGTAAACAATTTCTAGTGTGATATGACAAGTCATGTGTACAAAAACACACTTTGTAAACATTATATTGTTTATGTAGGTATACAACAAATATAAGCATCCATAGCCTTTGTAAATTTCTATATCCTATGCTAAGATAAAAACATTACCAACATTCTAGATAGATCCATGTTTCCTTTCTAATCTTTAAACTCATTTGACTACACAAAGTATACTATCATGTCTTCTAAAAGCAGTTTTCAAACTCTTTGGTTCAGGCTTCTTTTCTACTCTTAAATTATTATTAGAGTTTGACAGCCATCTCTTTATGTGGTGGGTTTACCCTGGCAGAAATTTAAAGTGAAAAATCAGAAAAGTGTGTTTATTTATTTACAGTAACTGTAATATACCTTTTCACATATTACAAATAATATACTTTAACAGCTTTTTAAAAAATAATCTTTGTATTTATTTGTGTGTGTGTGTGTGTGTGTGTGTGTGTGTGTGTGTGTGTAAGTCATGGCCCACATGTGGAGGTTAGAGAACAACTTGTGGGAGTTCATTCTCTCCTTGGACTACGTGTGTTTTAGGGATCCAACTCAGGTCATCAGGTTTGGTGGCAAGTGCCTCTTCCCATTGTCTTCATTAGATTTCTATTGCTGTGATAAAACACCATAACCAAAAGCAACTTGGGGAAAAGGGTTTGTTTCCACTCACAACTGTTAGGTTACACTCTATCACTGAGGGAAGTCAGGACAGGAACCTGGAGGCAGAATCTGGATTGGCGGCCACATAGGAATGCTGCTTACTGGTTTGCTCAGTCTGCTTCCTTTTACCACTCAAGACCTACCTAACACTGCCCACAATGTGCTGGGCCATCCCACATTAATTAATCAGGAAAATGTCCCACAAGCTTGCCTACAGTCCAACCTCATGGAGGCACTTATTTTTTCCGACTGAGGTTCTCAGATGACTCTTGCTTGTGTCAAGTTGACAATATAGTAGTAGTAGTAGTAATCATCATCATCATCATCTACCCAGCACAGCTACTGAGCCACCTCACTGACCCTCATGTAACTTCATAGCTCCAATATAAAATTCATGGAGATATAATGCATGCTTAAGAAAAGGTATCTGGCTTTTCCTCTTTGCTTCTACATTTGATCAGGAACAACAGTAATGCTTTGTGGTCTCTAGGGAACTCTACTGCATGCATGTGAGAATCACATTCTAAGAATCTTAACATTAGCAGGAAAATGGATGGAAATGAAAATCATCATGTTAAGTGGAGAGAGAGAGAGAGAGAGGGAGAGAGAGAGAGAGAGAGAGAGAGAGAGAGAGAGATCTTAAAGCAGAAGGGAAATAAAGATGGTAAGTTAACAGATGTGAGATGAAAGTGGAAAAGGGATTATTTAGGAAGGAAAGGGAACCAGCAAGTTCGGGGAAGTGGATAAAAGGAGCATGGAGAGCCAGACATGGTGACACATGCCTTTAATTCCAGCACTCGGGAGTCATAGGTAGGAGGATCTCTATGAGTTCGAGGCCAGCCTGGTCTACATAGCAAGTTCCAAGACAGCCAGAACTATACTATATATAGGGAGACCCTGTCTCAAAAAACAAAAAAAGAACATAGAGAACATCAGAGGAGGATAAATTAAATAAATTATAATAACAAATATGTGAAAATATTATAATAAAACCCATTACTTTGTATATTAATTTTTAAAAATTAAAGCACAAAACAAGGAGGAATGCAAACTTAGAAACTATAGAGACTTGGGACATTATCCATTTGAGAGAAGGGAGAGGCTCAAGAGGCTGAAGAAAAGCTAGACTTTTGTAATGATTTTATAGACATGTATGTGTGTAGATATGTGGGTTTATCTCAAATTCAACATGCTATTCTTCCCCTTTCTTTACAAATATAAACATTTCAATAAAATTACTTCTTCCTCTTTGTTACAAATACAATTTTTTTGATTTAAACATTTTTCAGACATCCTTTATTTCAAAATTAATAAAGTTAGTTACTGCCTAAAGCTAAGAGTGATTAAAACTAACATACTATTATAAAGTATAAGTGAATGAATTATTATTTGATAAAACATTTACTCCTTTTTTTTAAAGATTGATTGATTGATTGATTGATTGATTATGTATACAGTGTTCTATCTGCACATATCCCTGCAGGCCAGAAGAGGGCACCAGGTCTCATTACAGATGGTTGTGAGCCACCATGTAGTTGCTGGGAATTTAACTCAGGACCTTTGGAAGAGCAAGCAGTGCTCTTAACCTCTGAGCCATCTCTCCAGCCCACATTTACTCCTTTTAACAAAAGGAAATGACAGTGTTGAATACTGCTATTCATTGAATTGTGTCCCCTCAAAACTTCTATGTTGGAAGCACTAATCTCCAATATACCTAGGAGAGAGATAATTAAGGTGAAGTGAGGTCATAACGCTGGGGCCCTGACACAAAATGATTGGTGTCTTCCTTGGTGAGGAAGAGACACCAGGGAAATGACATACAGAGAAAAGGCACCGAGAAAACAACCACCTTCAGGGCAAGAAGAGAAGCCAGTCTGTGGTGTTTTGTTATGGCTGCATTTCTAAAGTCCAGAATTGAGAGAAGGGGAATTCTGTTACCAAAGCAAGCCAGTCTGTGGTGTTTTGTTATGGCTGCCCTCGCCAACTAATGCAGACACAAAACAGGGTCTTTCCAAATCCAAAGTAATAGATAGCTTTTGATTTGCTGTAGATTTTTACATTGTGTTCTAGGCTTAAGGACATTCCACAGACAATATCATATATAAATTTAAAACTCAGGACTGTTGAAACTGAAAAATATAGCTACTTTAATGCTAAAATAACAATGTATTTTAAAGAGCAATAATAAGAGTGTGAAATGCATAGAATGTGTGGTGTACATACTCTGTGCACATGGCATGAGGATGCACTTCACAGATACAGTTTGACAAGTGGGATGGCTAACAGTGGAAACAGACCGATTAACACAGGCTGTTGTAAAACCAAGATTACAATTTAAATGGATGAAATATGAATTCATAAAAATTTCATTTTCTAATTTTCAAAGTAGAAAATTTTCTATTTTATAGAAAAATGTGAATATACATATAACACAATGCCTAAACACAATCTAAAATTATCTTAGTAGACAGGTATAATAACTTTCTGAAAGTATCTCTTTAAAATTAAGATATTAAATAAGCAGGTATTTAAGTCTGTGTGATTCAGTTTTTAAGTCCGGATTCCCCAGTATTCAGGTACTTGCATTAGTCAGCATGTCTACACATAAAACATTTAATTCCCCATTGCATCTTAAAAGCTTCTGGCAGGATTTACCAGAATGCACAGTGGGAAAGTGCAGCCCGGTAGAAATGTGGTAAAGCACCTAACCTTAGGGCAATGGTTTATTAGGCTCTTAACACAACAGCACAGGACTGCAAGGCAGCAGGTAGTGAAGCACTGGGCTGAAACGCCACCTGTGGGTCCATCTTACCTGTAGCAGTCAGTCCCATACATGCAGGACGCCCTCCGGACCTTGCTTCCTTCTGAACAGCCTAGAACTGAATCAGCCACTGTGTGCGAAGCATCAGGACTGGAGGGAGCAGAGCTGGACTCAGGACAGAACCCTTGCGATGTCTCGGGAGGTGACTTCCTTTGGACGCTTGAATGACTCTCAGGACGGCTCACTGTCTCCCCCTCTCCATCTGTTGTTGCTTGGCTGACAGTTTTATGTCTAGAAACCTCGCCAAGCTCCTCTATTGGAACTGCGGTGTTCGGTTCACTCATCTTCACAGTATCTGGATCTGGATCACCTAATGTGATTGAAGACAATGATTCTGGAACTTCCTGTAAAAGAAAGCCAGAAAAGGCATCATTTTAAAAAAGCAAACTTTAACAAAAAAAAAAAAAGAAATATATAAATTAAAGTTTAAGAGGACAAAAATACAAGTTTCATGATATTTAAAGCTTAAAACTTCAAACATCTTATTTTGAAGCTACTAAAGATACCATTTTCTGTTTTTAGTTTATAAATTGTTAACAATTTGTAGACTTCACAATATTAATTTGTAGCTATAATGATACTCTATTTCATTGTTACATAATCTAACTCAAAAAGCTCTTAAATGTCACTATCCAACAACACTGTCCTTGTAATTTCTTAAAAATGACTGCAATACTTAGTTCTCTCCAAATAAAGGTAGTTTTCATATGGCAGAATGACCAACTGGTTCATGTCTACACATAAATCTGCATGAGGGTATGCTATCACCAACGGAGAAAGCAAGCACCTTTCCTTTGAGAGTTCTGATTAAGTAAATGTCAGGTTAGCCAATTAAGCCCCAGAGAGCTGACTACTGCCATCTTGTTAAATGGATAAAATACACAGCTGCCCTGATACTGACCTTCAGTACCCGTAGACTAGTGCCGCTCTAACCTCTCATCAAAGGGGCTTCTTTTCACAGAAAACTACAACTGGTCAGAGGGCAGAGAACAAGTGACTGTGGAGAGTCCTACCTTAAATGGGAGATCTACAACACAGTCCCTGCACCAAGGCGCAGGAACACGGTACCAAGGAGATATTCCAATCACCCCGGTATGCCTTTTTAATTTGTACTGGCCACCAGCATAAAAAGTAAGCCTCATCTCAAAAACCTCCTTTCTGTGGAGCAGAAATATTGCTCATTTAAACACATGTGTTCTTGTTAACCAAGTCACAGATATGAGGAGCACACACCAGACACACATCAATGTTCACCTCCATTTCTAAGGGCTCGGGGCCTGGCAGCTACCATCTGGTGAAAGCTGACTTTAGTACGAATAGATAGCTGATAATTCAAATTTCCTAACATATTATTCACATGACTTCTTTTGGACTAATTATTTAAATGTTTCAATACTTTTAAAAGAAACTGTAACTCTGAAACAGTATTCACACTGGCTAAATAGGTTCTCCACAGGATGTGGGTCTATCATGGCTCTGCACAGCAGCAGATAACCTAGGAAAAGCAGGTGTTTGGCTATCTTCTATGACTTACACTTGGGTGGTGGCATTTAGGCTACATCCCTCTACACCATACACTCTACTTCCAACCTTCTCTGTCACACCCCAGTCCCATCCCCTTCCATTCAGGACCAATTGGCACAGGCCAACAGCTGGAATTCAGGGACAGGAACTGAGAAGTCCTGACTACCGTCCACTTGACAGATCCCCCATTTCCTTCACTCCTGTTCAGTGGTGGGTAAGTCAGTGAGTCTGGTAGTGAAACGAAGAGCCCCAAACTTGTTAGATTATTATTCCTGTGGCATTTTAGACTCTACAAGGCATTTTCCATGCTTAGGAAGGAAGGCTGTGATTCCTCAGAGGCACCACACTTCCCGAGGCCTTAAGAGTTCCCAGCCTTCTGCCGGGCGGTGGTGGCGCACGCCTTTAATCCCAGCACTCGGGAGGCAGAGCCAGGCGGATCTCTGTGAGTTCGAGGCCAGCCTGGTCTACAAAGCGAGTTCCAAAAAAGGCGCAAAACTACACAGAGAAACCCTGTCTCAAAAAACCAAAAAAAAAAAAAAAAAAAAAAAAAAAAAAAGAGTTCCCAGCCTTTCAGATATCTGTGTGTACAAAGCCTGGAGGGGAAAGGGCAGACGATTCTCACGCCTTTCAACAAGCACCACAGGAAAGGGGTGATTCACACTTCCAAACACGGGATCCTGACAGTACTGTTGTTCCAGCATCCAGCCACAGCAGATGTTTGAAGGGAAACAATCCCACTCAACTTCTTAGTCAGTTTCTTTCAGAACAAAGAGACATTGGAAAGTGATAAAAAAAAAAATACATCTTTTCTATAAAATATTGGAGAGCTGTTGACCTAACAGTGGCATGGCTAAGGACTGCTTTTAAAAGGAGTGTTGTGTTGGTTTGTTGGTTTCTGTATTTGTTGGGGGTGGTGCATGCATGCCCACATACGCACATGCAGAGGCCAGAGCAAGGTGCCAGATGCCTTTTCTCTTAGTCTTCACACTAGTGGCTCAAAACAGGAGCTCCTGAACCCGAAGTCTGCCTTTTAGGCTAGGCCGGGCAGCCAGAGAACTCTCCAGATCTGCCTGTCTCTTCCCTCCAGTATTGGGGTCACATGCACATGAAGCTGTGCCTGGCTTTTTATGTGGGGACTGGAGATGTGGACTTAGATTCTCATGCTTCCAGAGTAAATGTTCTTACCCACTTAGGCATCTCCCTGGCCCTCTAAGGATATTTTTAACTAAAGAACAGTATTATTCTGTGATGGCATTTAATGTTTTAAGTAATCTCTCACACCACCCCCCATCAAAGATTTTGTAGCAGATGATGACTATTCCAGAGATCCACCATCAGTCAAAATGCAGAGAACAAGTGACAGAGGGGTGCCCAAACTAACTCCTATACAGAAGCCTCAGGGGAAGTCATAGAGGAGGGGGCGGAAAGCTTTTGAGAGCCAGAGGACCACAACACCTGCTGTAAGACAATGTCTTCTAGACATGACAGGGAGGCTGTATCCACCAAACCTCAACAATATGGTCTAAATATGACCTGTATAATGAGAACACCATTTGACACGCCAACATAAAATGAAAGAAATTTAACAAGACCCCACCCCTAGATAAAGAGCTACAGGCACTCAACTGCTGCTGAGAGATGGAGATTCCATTTTTTCCAGGGATGAGTCCTCTGATAGGTCATCCAGTCCAAAGGGGAAGCCTTAAACACATGTGCACATAAGCAACACTGGGTGGATTCAGTAGGTTGTGTGTGTGCCTATGTATTTATCAATGATAACTAAAGAGGAAGGGGTCATAAATTTAAGTGGGAGTAGGGGAAGGGATGGAAATGATGTAAATACTTACTCAAGTATGAAACTCTCAAAAACTTTAAATTAAAAACAATTCTCATAGCCAAGCACAGTAGCACATTCCTGTCATCACAGTACTTGGGAGGTTGTAGCTGAAGGATCAAGTTATGAGCCAAGTTAAGTTACTTAGCAAAACCATGTCGGAAATAAATATAACATCTTCATATATGTGTGTGTGTGTGTGTGTGTGTGTGTGTGTGTGTGTGTGTGTGTGTGTGTGTATTTGCCTGTATAAATCCAGATGAAGATTTTATAATGCTACAAAAGTCAATGCAACAATGGGATTGAAGGATGAGGCAAATGAAGTTTTCATTTTTAATAAACATGCTTCTGGATATTCTATTTGGGCAATAAGCATGTATTATTCTGCTATTTGAAAATGAAAAACCAAAGAGAATGAAATGTATAGCATCATAGTTCAACTGTGTAGTTCTAAGGAACATAAAGAAGAATCTGTTTCATTAAGAACTGAACTTTAGTTCCCCACAGCAACATGTATAACATGCTAATTTAGAGAGAAAGGAACACTAAAATCACAGGTATCAATATGTAAATTAGGGGGTTTCAAATAAGAGAGACAGCTGGGCATGGTAGCACACCCCTTTAGCACTTGGGAGGCAGAGGCAGGCAAATCTCCTTGAATTCGAGGCCAGCCTGGTCTACACAGTAAGCTACAGGACAGCCACGGTTATGTAGAGAGACCTGAGACAGTCCCCGACCCAAAAAAACCAAATAAGAGACACAAAAGTTGGAAATCATAATGCTCTTATGGAACTTCATGCAATATTAATATATAGTAGCCTTGGCATTCAAGAATTTAACATTCTTGGTTTCAATTATTTATAAATGATCCCAAAATCCATTACACGCAGTAATTTTTAAGTTTGCTGATACACAAATTTGAACTGTGCCAATTCCAAAGCTCATGAGCGACCTGGTGGGGCGGGTAAGGGAACAAGAAAAATGGAAGGTGAATCACCTACGGCAAGTAGGAGAATGAGAGCTTCAGTTTTACTAAGCATCCCCTGCTATTTGTTGAACGTGTGAAGGATTAAACATGGGAGGCGAGAGAGTTCTGATAACAGAAAGATCTCCTACAAAGTAAAAAAAGATGTGTTTGAGACTGGAGATCATGGGGCTAGTGGTCCTCTGAGGAAGAGCAGAATGCACTCTTAAGACTATTAAAATAGCTTATCAACTTGTCTAGTAAGCACTTCCTGCCCCTCAGCCATCTGAAGTTTTAATGTATTTTAAAGGATAGGATAAAGAACTACCCTCTAACATAAATCCAGCAGGGTGGTTTGTTGTTTCCAAGATGCTCTTGGCAGGAATGTCTGTGCTGATAAGTTGCCTAAAAGTCCTGTATCAATTCCATTAACATTCCTGGAGAATAATGGAAAAATCCCAGCCTCATACTCAATCTCTGACTGACAGTTCAAGCACTAGCTAAATACTGCTTCCTAGGAAGTCTATCCCCCGAAACTGAAAACACAACAACTGAAATTCCACCTGTGTGTTCTCTACCATAACTTCTCCCAATACCTTAACTATCTGTCCTTCCCAACTGGAAACTTGGAACCTGCCTTTTATTCCCTCTCCTTCCCCAGATCCAGTGTTCAGACACTCAGCACTGAAGTTTTGCATCCTAGATGCTTTTCCAATCCGATGGCTCACCATCCTGAAGTGGCTAAAGTCTCTGCACTTCTTAGTCGTGTCAATATAACCATCATTTCCCTCCTTTATCTCAGAGATCTTACTTTGTCGCTTCCAATCTCTCTCTAGAGAGCTAAAGGACCTCAGTACTCAATACATTTCCAGTGCCTCCTCCTGCGCAGGTCCCCACTGCTGCTTCAATTTTAAATGAATGCCTGCCTTGTATCCAAATTTCCAAGGACAACAGTTGACTGACTGCCCCTTGTTCAAAATGCTTAGGATTTCTGAGTTTTTGGAGTCTGGAGTAGTTGTAAAGATTTATGGTTGAGCATCAATATCTGAAACTATCCAAAGTCCCAAGTGAGTTGAGAATCTTACCAGTATGCAAAAAGTTTCAGATTTTGAGGTATTTTATTTTTCACTTTTGGATTAGGGGTTCTCAAGATGTATTTGTTCTCCCTTGCTTTAGTACTTGGTCTGTCATCTACCTGGAACCTTGTAACTTTCCATGACCAAAAAGTGCAGTAGAAATGACCAGTTCCAGTCATTGAAAGATCTGGGCCTTAAAGATCTGGCAGCTTTTAATTTTACCGTCTTAGAATCCGGCTGTTGGGTAAAGGGATTGAGTCTCAACTACCTAATGGTAAGTGGAGGGAGGGAGGCCCAGTCAGCTTGCAGACATCCCATCAATCCTTGTAGAGGCATCATTCATGAGAGCAGAGTCGTTTAACCTGAACCCACCACCACTAATACCAAAAATGTATCATAAAGAGGTGTCCAACTGAGCCCAGCCAACTCAGACGATTTGTAATAAATAAGAAGTCATGTTGTGCTAAGTGATTAAGTGTTGGGCTTACTTTGATTACAGCAAGAGATAACTAATAATTTTATGAAAGGATTTTGCAGAAGTTTTTTTGGCTGTGCTTCCTTCGGCTGCCTGTGACAGTTCTAATTAGATTATGTAAAAGAAATACTATTGTCTTAATCTCTGTGCTACTGCAACAAAATACCACAGCCTAGGTCATTTATCAAAGACAAAATGTATTTTCTCAGTTCTGAGTTTTGGGGAGGCCATGGTAAGTTGCTGGCATCTGATGTGGGATTTCCTACTCTGTCTTCATGGGGCAGAAGGGAAGAGAGGACAAATGTGTTCTGACATGACAGAGGCACAGCAGGATGTGCACTCGTGTCCTCTTGTGACACAAGGGCAAAGAGAGTCCACCGGCTCCTGTGGACTTCCTAGCAACTGGAGTCTACTCCTGAGTATGGAGCCAGTACTGAGCAAGCACCACTGCACAGGGAGAGTAAGCTTCAGTACAAGTTTTTAGAGGAGACAAAACATCCAAAACACAGCAGAGATCTTTACATTGATTAATTCCAGAGCCCTCACTTTGGCCATAAGCTGGACAGACATACAACCTGTAAGGACTGCAGAAGACCTGTGAGGACTGACAAAATCCTGGACTTTAAAAGAACAATTAACTTCATGAAGAGAAGAGTGCTCGTCACAAACTCACTCATAGTCTAATGTGCACAATAGGAAAACCCACTGTACACAAAAGCATCTACTTCGGCCATCAGCGCTTCTTAGCAGTGTGGCCTTGGGCTTCAGTTTCCTCCAGGTGCTGAAGGATGGCGTATCAATAGTTCTCCTTGAGGGCATGTTCAAATCGCAGGAGTACACATAAGGCACTACTTAGACACAGGCCATGGACTAAATGAGTCAGAGCTCAGGAAAGGGGCAAGAAGGGATTTCTGCCCCTTCTCTCCACTTCCTTTTCCAGTCTTTCTTAAGAAAATGTCTACTCTAGAGTCCTGGACAATTGCTCTGAGGTCTTGTAAGGCATCTCCACACATCCGACTGGATGGACCAGCCAAGCTTCTGTTTTCTCTCATGGTGAGCTTGTCTCCCCGTTCTTCACTGTGCTATCCCATCGACTGGCTGCTCTCTGGGGATAAGATAAGACCGAGACAGAAACTGGGCAGACATGGAGGAGGAGCTTGGCCAGTCTGGCTTGGGTCTTCAGCGTCAGCCATGTTCTCCGGCTCAACTTCACTAGAGCCCGGCAGAGAGGTTGTGAGGGTTTGGGCCTCCTTTCTACTCAACAAAGAGAGGTAACGCTCCCTCAGGACCCTCACAGGAAGAACACTTAGCCAAGTGGAGCTTGCAGTCCTCCTGTATCTATTACACCCCCTTGATGGCATCAAAACCTCACAAACACCTTGACTAACTGGGATCTCCTCACTGCTTCTCTCCTACCTATTAGCTAAGAAGATATTTCTTAAAGTCTTTCTTATAATTATGAAACTTAGTCAGGATAAAGTATATTAAAACACATATATTAGGTTTTCTTTGGAACTAAATAATTTCTTGTAAAATAGGCAAAGTGAATTGATATGCTCACTGTTCAAAATATATGAAGGCTAAAAGTTTATATAAGACAAATTGCATTTTAATAATATTTAAAGGCAAATATATATGAGCCAGAATTCATCTTGTTTTGATTTATTACTTGACGCCATTAGTAAGCAAAAACACTAAGTCTTAGAGACTGGATCCACTTCTCTCACTGGGACAGGTGCTAAGGGAGTCTGGTCTCTCCCTAGGGGAAGAGGTGGACGTGAAGGTGTATTCTACCAGGACAGGACCAGCCTGGCCTCCTGAGACTAAGAGACCCACAGAGCTCAGCCAGTGGCCTACCCAGCCCTGAATCTGTCACCTTAAGCTACCACTGTCAAAGGAAGAAAAATGCCTGGACTTTCTGTTCTGGGGCCACCTCTATTGTTTCCTGCTACAATGCCTCAGTGTGCACAAATCCTGTGCAAGCTCAGGCTACACAGAATCTGGCTAGAGGGAGAAGGTGAGCATAATCTCCCCACTAACTGAGGAGCTCTTGGCATTTGATAACTGCTGGGAGAGAGGTCAGTTTTCTTCAAGGATGTGCCCCCTGGTAGATCAGCCACATATCCAGGTAGGCCTCACTCCTAAGACTAGTTGTGCGACATAAACTGGACTTGATGGGACTTGGCGGAGAAGAAAACTCAGGTAAGTAGGTATGAGTAGAAGGATGGAGAGGGTGATTATGGGAGGAGCTGAAGAAACACATTATACAAAATTCCCAAAGAATAAATACAATTATCCAAGTTTTTTTTGTTTGTTTTTTAAAAAACTTCATGTAATAAACAGGCCTTGTTTCTTTTTAAATATCCAACATCAAGGAATGTCAATTGGGCCAAATCATTCTAGAGGATTGGGACAAACTGAAGAGGAATGAAAGGTCTGCAATCACTCGAAGGCACAGCAGAGTAATCCTGTGGCTCTGTGAAGAATGATACACCATTTGTTCTCCTCGCCATTATTACTCAGTGGTGACATTAAGTCCACACACAACAGCAACCAGGCGACCAGAACAAAGGCCAAACTAAGACCAGAGCCAAGAGGTCTCCGCCTTTCTCTACTCTGAAATATTAGCCCACAACGCAAACTCTCCCTCTAGATTCAAAATTAGTTTCAATAAAGCTCTTCCTGACCGGCACCCACATGGCAGCTCACAACTGTCTGTAACTCCAGTTCCAGGGGATCTGCACCCTCTTAAAAAAGAAAAATACATAAGTGTGTGCACGCACACACACACACAGAGAGAGAGAGAGAGAGAGAGAGAGAGAGAGAGAGAGAGAGAGAGAGAGAGAGAGAGAGGAGAGAGAGAGAGAGAGCAAGCTAGTTTATATCTATATAAACACAAAAAAGGCGGTAGCTTAGTTTTTTTTTTGATAAATTTAGCACATGATTCATTTCTATCACTTGGTCTTATCCAAAGGGCTAAAAGGACGTAATTCCTGTCTCAAATATCAGATAAAGAAAATAAACAACATATTTTTAATCACCTTGGATGAAACAAATGGTCCTTCTTGATCAGAACTTTTACATTTTTTCCCAGGATCCTGTTCTGCTGACATACTTTCTGAATTTCCTAGTGAAATTAATCGCTTTCTTCCATGCCATGTTCTGTTTACTGGAGTTTTATCTTTGCAGGTTCCTTCTTCTCCACTCCTCTGGATGACATCCTTATCTAACATACACACAAGCACACACATACAAAGAACAAGAAGAAAATTACTTCCCGTATCTTCAAAGGTCAATACTCTACATGACTGAAAAGGATAAACGAGCAAGTGACTCACAGGCTGTGAGATGGCTCAGTGGGGAAGATAATTTGCTGTGCAAGCTTAAGGATCTGAGTGTGCATATTCAGCACCAACACAAGAAAAGAAAAGGGAAAAAAAGTGGGGGTAGAGCTTGCTGGGCCTGTAACCCCAGTACTTCATTGGAGGGAGCAGGGAGACAAAGACAAAGAACACTTGGGGTTGATGCCAGCCAGTGGAGCCAAACCCAGCGAGCTCCAGATTCAGTGAGAGACCCCGTCTTAAGGGATTATGGCCCAGAATGATAGAGCTGGACACCTGCAAATCCAAATGACATTTCCAGTAATGTCCACTGGGAAATACTTATTTGCAATCTCAAACAGCATTAGGCAGCACAGTGGCTAAGAACGCCAACCCAGAGCGCACCAAGCTCAGACACAATGGGTCCACTTTAACTGTTTTACTTCAACTCCAAGCTTTGTTTGCAACTGCAAAGTGGAAATCACAGAGTCACTAGAAGTAAATGAAGTAAGAGAGAACCTGACACATTAGTTACAATTTTTTAAATTATAGCAACAATTTTCTCTGAGAAAAGCTGACAGAGTAACCCAGATTTCAGATATATGTAAAAACTCCAAAAACCTAGGAATGAGAATGTCCTCTATAGACTTTGTAAATAAAGAAATCTCAGTAACAATGTATACTATATGCTATATATTATCCATATATTATCTTCATATTATCCATATATTATAGTTGGTGAACCTTTAGTCAGAATCCCATCTTGTCAACAAATTCATAATTGTCTAATCAGAAAAGATGAAACAGCCTTTGTACCGTAAGAGGAAAAAGCTCATGGCTAATTGTGTCCTCTATACTGCAGGGAGAGCTTCTTGAGGGCAAAGACTTTATATGCCTTGCTTACTATTTCCCCCTTTGGGGAAGGCCTTCAGGACCTTAAAATGTGCCTCTTATAAAACTAGTGCTCAATATTTTGGACTAAGTAAATTAGGAATATAACCAAAATTTGTCTAGGATGTAAGTATGTATACACTTCGTAGTCACTGTCGTTCTAAGACAGATTAGTAACTTTTTTTTAGAAAAAGACAGACTAGCCGGGCGGTGGTGGCGCACGCCTTTAATCCCAGCACTCGGGAGGCAGAGCCAGGCGGATCTCTGTGAGTTCGAGGCCAGCCTGGGCTACCAAGTGAGTTCCAGGAGAGGCGCAAAGCTACACAGAGAAACCCTGTCTCGAAAAACCAAAAAAAAAAAAAAGAAAAAGACAGACTATAAAGCTCTGTAGAGGGCTATAGGGTGTCTACTACAGCTACTCAACTCTGCCTTCATAACAAAGAGTAGCCATTAGATATGGACAGATGAGCATGGCTGTACTCCAATACAGGTTTACTCCAAAATGGGCAGTGGCCAGATCTGGCCTATGGGCATCAGTCTCTTAGCCTTATTCTGAAGGATACCCGAAGGGCCTAAAGCAGTTTCAGGGAATAAATACCGATGGAACACTGGCTGTAGGGAGCAGAGGAAGCCCTGAGTGAACGAATACATGTTGTTGACATGGGCACAGCCATGCTGAGAACTGCAATGTCTCAGCCCCATGGGAGTGGCAAGGCCTTCCACGAGAGTCTCAGTGTGGATGTTGACCGTGTTTGAAGAAAACATCCACCACAGCTTTCTCCCCTGGATATTTATAGCCTGAAGACCACTCCTAGAGACTGTTCTTACTGAGATTAATTAAGTCTGCCTCCTTGTTTAGTTATATGTAATGAACCTGCCTCCTGTTGAGCTGTATGCAATAAACCTGCCTCTTTGCTCTGTTCAACTACATACATACATATATATATTCAACTACACATATGCATACACATACACACACATACATATACACACACACACACACACACACACACACACACACACACACACACACGGCATGCTGAACTTCTAGGTTGCTGCAGTTTTTCCATCAGAGAGCCCAGTCTACTCAATTCCAGATTTTTTGTGTTTCTGTGTGTCCATGTGTTTATAGTTTCCTCATTTATCCTCACCATCCCAATCAGGTCCATCCCTGAGGCTGTGCAACATTCAACAACTGTCTATATTATCAACAGAACTATCCATCGCACCACAATAGGAGTAATATACAGTAGTCACCTTTTATCCCACCATTTTCCCTTGTTTCACTTACTGTCAATCATGTTGTAGTCCTTATATTCAAGCAATCATAATTGTAATGTCTCCAAAGCACAGGAATAGTGACACTGGCAAATTTGCTACAAATGGAATGTTTGTAACATCTCAAAACCATTCGTGTGTGTGTGTGTGTGTGTGTGTGTGTGTGTGTGTGTGTGTGTGAGAGAGAGAGAGAGAGAGAGAGAGAGAGAGAGAGAGAGAGAAAAAGAGAGAGAGAGAGAGAGAGAGATGTGATACATAGAGAAGATAGCTAACAGCAAGCCACAATGCTGACACCTTGATCTTGGATTTCTGGCCTCCAGAACTGTGAGAAAGTAAATGTCACTTAGGTCACCTAGGCTACAGTACTCTATTACAGTGGGCAGCACAAGGATAAACTCTCTCAGGAAACAGAGAAGAGTAACACTTCTCAATGCATTTTACCAGGCCAGCGATTACATTAAAACCCCCAAAATACTTCACACTAAAATAAGATTATTGCTCAACACCACTTAAAACAATCATTTAAAAATCCTTAACAAATAAAAGGGACAAAAAAAAGGTGAAAATCTGCTGAGGTAGAATTTGTTCAGCAAATGAGGCCCTAAGTTCATTTCCCAGAATCCAAAGACAACCAAAAGAGCCCAAGAGTCAAAGGGTTTATCAAGAATGCAAGGCTGATTTGATATTCAAAATTCTTTAAGTACAGGAGAGGCATTTGATATCAAATCCTACTGATGTATAGGAGAGGCATTTGACATCAAATCTTACTGATGTACAGAAAAGGCACTTAACTTTTAACATTTGTTAAAACAAAAACTTTGAGAAAAATCACAGACAGAAAAGAATTAGGACAGAACCAAACACGACCAGCAAAAAAAAAAAAAAAGGTCAGTGAAATGATTCCCAGTGAATTTCTGCTATACTCCTAGACTGGAACCTAGCATAACTGTCATCAGAGAGGCTTCATCCAGCAACTGATGGGAGCAGATGCAGAGACCCACAGCCAAACATCAGGGGAACTCAGGGAACCCTGTGGAAAAGAGGGAGGAAGGATTGTAGAAGCCAGAGGGATCAAGGACATCACAAGAACACCCACAGAATCAACTAACCTTGGCTCATAGGAGCTCACAGAGACTGAAATGACAATCAGGGAGCCTGCATGGGTCTGACCTAGGCCCTCTGCATATATGTTATGGTTGTATAGCTTGGTCTTCTCATCGGACTCCTACAGTGGAGTGGAAACTGTCTCTGACTCCTTTGCCTAATGTTGAGACCCTTTTCCTCCTACTACATTATCTCATCCAGCCTTAAGATGAGGAAAAGTGCCTAATCTTATCGCAACTTGATATACCATGTTTGGTTGATATCTCTGGGAGGCCTGCCCTTTTCTGAAAGGAAACAGGACTGGAACTGGGGGAGAAGGAAAGTCAGAGGAAGGGTCTGGGAGGAGAGGAGGGAAGAGGAACTTCAATAGGGATGTACTATATGGGAGAAAAATAAATAAATAAATACATAAATAGATAAACAAATAAATAAATAAATAAATAAATAGATGAATAAGAAACAATAGATGTCCAGCAGAAAGACATAAATCACTGAGGTGGCATAAGCTCATGACATAAACTGGGCCATGACAAGACTCATGTGTATTTTAATCTCGTAGCACACACACTGTGTGCCTGGTTACTTTATTTGATTATTTTAAAATATTTTGGTTGTGGTGTCCTTTCATCTCAGATATGACATGTGGTGGTATTGTGTTCCCCGAAATATTGTGCACCCTAATAAACTTATCTGGGGTCAGAGACAGAATGCGTAGCACATGCCTTTAATCCCAGCACTTGGGAGGCAGAGCTAGGCAGAAATCCATGTGTTCAAGGATACAGCCAAGCATGGTGACTCACGCCTTTAATCCCAGGGAGTGATGGTAGAAGACAGAAAGATATGTAAGGCGTGAGGACCAGGAACTAGAAGCATTTGGCCTGGTTAAGCATTTGGCCTGGTTAAGCATTCAGGCTTTTGAGCAGCAGCTCAGCTGAGACCCATTCTGGATGAGGACTCAGAGGCCTCCAGTCTGAGGAAACAAGACCAGCTGAGGATCTGGCGAGGTGAGGTAGCTGTGGCTTGTTCTGGTTCTCTGATCTTCCAGTTCACCCCAACCTGGCTCAGGTTTGAATTTATTAATAAGAATTTTAAGATTCTTGCTACAATGACACCAACGTGCTCACCTGAGAATATATATTAACAGTGCATCTAACAATAAAAGAGGAATATCACATGCTCAACAAGATATCAGTGGATAGAATGCTGTTTGACAAGTACCATAAAGTAATAGCTTATGTTCTGAATTATATTCCATGCACATCTGAAAGTAAATCTTAGGTTAACAGGCATAGCAGCCACAACTGTAACCTCAGCACTCAGGAGACTGAGGCAGGGGCATAACAAGTTTAAGACCATGTCTCAAAGTAAATAAATAGACAGAACATAATTTAAAGTCCCAGGCTAACCCATACTGTGTGCGACCACCACTCGATACCTATTTGCTCAGAAAACCTTTAAATTGTCTTTAATGTTTCCTTGAAAACATCAGCAAAGACAAAAACTTACCTCCACCCGTAACAGGTGCTGAAAGGTTTTGATCACTTAAATTTTCTAACATCCAAGCTGGGAGGATTCTTTTCCTCTGGGCAGGGTGTGGCTGGTGCCCACTGCCATCTCCACGTGCACCTGAAGAGGACTAAAAGAACATTCATAAACTAATTCCTAAAGGTGACATGCACCCTTAGTGAAGTTGTAAAATGATTTACTTTGAGGAAAATTACCATTAGCAGAGCTACCCACAACTGTAGACCCAGTCAGTTCAATTCTTGACAAGAAATTCATTATCTATTGGTTTGTGTCAGCCTAGTTTGACACTCTCTACAGACTTAGAAACAACAGAAGCAGGTCAGTGCCACAGGCGTTATAACACGCATGACGTCAGTTGTCTATTTGGGAAGCACAGACCACGTTAGGAAGGTGCCTCTGAGGTTTCTCACCGGAGTCTCGACGGCAGCACACTTGGTTAGTTCAGGGCTTCCTTGCAGCCGTGAAGCACTGGTTGTCTCATCAGGCAGCTTAATCACAGGGGACTTATGCATCTCACTCAACACGTCATCTTCATCAAGTATTTGACTGTTCCTGTAAAATACAACAGAACTCTGTTTTTTATCATTTGGTGGCAACCTTGAGGCTGCTCAGTTCTATGCTTCTGAGGACTTCTCACTGGGGTACTGAGCTCCTTCAGTCAAACTTTAAAAAACTAAAAACAGCCGGGCGGTGGTGGCGCACGCCTTTAATCCCAGCACTCGGGAGGCAGAGCCAGGCGGATCTCTGTGAGTTCGAGGCCAGCCTGGTCTCCAAAGCGAGTTCCAGGAAAGGCGCAAAGCTACACAGAGAAACCCTGTCTCGAAAAACCAAAAAAAAAAAAAAAAAAAAAAAAAAAAAAAAAAAAAAAAAAAAAAACTAAAAACAGTTTATACTACAGTAAAATGTTTTATCTCCAGCCACATATATTATCACAACATATATTAGTCTTAAAAATCATGGGCTGGGGCCAGAGAGATGGATCAGTGGTTAAGAGCACTTGCTGTGGACTTAGGTTTAGGTCCCAGTATCCATATGACAACTCACAACCATCTGTTACTCCAGGTCCAATGCCCTCTTTTGGCCTCTGTGGCCAGAGGCACATATATGGTGCACTTACACACATATATCCAGGCAAACACTCATACACATAAAATGAAAATAAAAACACCTTTAAAACTGAAGATAAGAGATTTCAGAAATGTGTAGCTGAAGAGTCTGATTTGTAGTTTTGAAATGTTCTTTTAGTAGCTATAAAATAAGGAATGATCTCTTTCAAAGGCGGACTTGAATTTCAATGGCAGGAATCATAATAAATGGCAGGAACTATATTCCAAGATTATTCCATATTTGATTACTACTCAAAAGCTAATGGACATTTGACTTGTTTCTCAACTTTGACTATTACGAATGATGTTACTGTGGGATTCCAAGTATAAGTTTTTGTGTGAACACATGTTTTCAATTTGGGGGCATAAACCTAGGAGGGGGAGTGCCAGGACACACAGCTGTTTATATATATAATTGGTTTTTCAAGACAGAGCTTCTCTGTGTAGCTTTGCGCCTTTCCTGGAACTCACTCTGTAGACCAGGTTGGCCTGGAACTCAACAGAGATCCACCTGCCTCTGCCTCCTGAGTGCTGGGATTAAAGGTGTGTGCCACCACAGCCTAAAAACTTATCAGAATATGGACATTCCAAGGAGAATGTATTGTTTCACAACACCACATCATATATGAGAGTTCTGGTTTCTCCATATGCTAACATCAACATTTACTAATGTCTTTGGTTATAGCTGCCTAGTAGCTTAGTGAGCATTTTTTTTCAAATTGTTAAAACTTTCTCATTATAGATTTGACTTAAGTTTCCCAATGACTAATGATGCTATCTTTTCATTTTATTGTTAGGAAATATTTATTCTCATCAGTTACACATGTTAAAACTGGGTTGGCCTTGTATTTTTGAGTTATAACTGCTTATATATTCTAGATGTAAAACATTATAGATACATGATTTACAAAGTTTTGTCATTCACTTGTCCTTTTTGTTTCTTGACTGTGCTCTTATAAGCACACATATTTCAAATGGGAGGAAATCCAGCTTATCTAATGCTCCTGTCTTCGCTGTTGCTTTGATGTTAGACTGGTGAAGCCATACCTGGAGCAGGGTGGTAAAGATACATACCTATGCTCTCTCTCTTTATATTTAGGTCTCTGATCCATTTTGACTGTTATATGATATAAAGTAAAAGTCTACCTTCATTTTTTTCATGTGGCTATCAGCTGTTCCAGTACTGTCTGGACAACTGACTTTACCCTGTTTAATTGGTGCCCCTGTCAGAAGTAAAGACTGTAAATGTAAGGGCTAATTTCTGAACCCTCAACTCCCTGAGCTATGTCTGTTTTTATGCCAAGACCACACTATCTTGATAACTGTGTTTCGCAGCTGGTTTTGAAATTGGGAAATGTTGAGTTCTTCAGTAGCATTCTTATATTTAAGATTGTTTGGGCAATTAAGTTTCCTTAAGAGTTCAAAATATATTCTAAGCTATGTTCAAATATGTTACTTATTTTATATCTTTAATATAAAATATGCTACTAATAAAAATGAGCTAATTTGAAAATAATTACAAATGAAATTTTTTCCTTTCATTTTTCTTTTATTAAAAATAGATTTTTTCATACAATATAGTCTGATTATGGTTCTCCTCCCCCAACCACTTCCCAAGATCTTCCAAGCTCCTCTCCCATTCAAATCCATACCCTTTCTGTAATTACAAATCAATTTCAAAGTTATTTGTTCCCACATTATAATGAGATTTTCATCAACATTTTATTGCTTTGTTCCGAATTAGTGCTTGAAACTAGCAGCTATTTACATGGAATCTGAGTGTTAAGAACTTTAATAGTTTGGAAAAAATAAGTTAGCATGACAAAAATTTACTGTACTTTCCTTAAGACTATCTTTAAGAAAATCTCCCCAGGGAATAAAATTATGTTACTTCCTTATCAACAATGAAGTTTAGCTATGAAAACAAAATCCTGCTCCCTCACAATATCATTCAATCTGATATCCAAGGAGCCAACATACACTCTGCACCCCAATACTGGGGATGCATCAGGAATGCAAAATTAATTAACCCTGCTCCCATGTGAATTATTTAATTATTTAAATACAAAACCAGGTATATTTTTTTCTCATTTGGATTTCTCTATGGCTTCTCAAAAGAAAAGTGTGAGCTTTGGTATTTCTAGCAGAATAATTTCAGACATAAGTAAAAACAAGAGTCAAAAATGAAAACTTATAGGTGATGTGTAGCCACATGCTCCTAAAAAGTAGGCTGTGAATGATACTATAAAATCTTAACAGGCTGTAAAAAGTATGTAAACAAATGCAAAATGAGAACTAACCAGGGGTTTTGTTTTCTTTTTTTAACTGCTATTTTGTTATTTGGGTTCAAAACTTAAATATCCTATCAGTTGGAAGAAAAAAAATTACCAGGGTAAAAGACTTCTAACAACTGCAACAAAGTACTACACAGAGAGGATCCTTTTTAGTCTTGTTTAAACTCTTATAAGAGTTAAACGTGTAGCAATAAGACAGCATACCCTATCTCCCTACCTACAAATATGAATACTATGTATACTACCCCAACGAGAGTACTTTGTCCAATTTGCTCCAATTAAAAACAATCAAAGCCCTCTCTGTACACAACCTCAAATTTGTTCCTCTCCCCTCCATTCCATCCCCAAAAGCTTGAGTATGATGTCTTTATGACTTCATTATATGAATGCATCCATCATTTGATAGAAATAGTATACACTTTATATACTTTTAATTTTTTCCTTCAATATCATACTACAGAGTTTTAATGAGGATCTCTCTCTCTCTCTCTCTTTTCTCTCTCTCTCTCTCTCTCTCTCTCTCTCTCTCTCTCTCTCTCCTTCCACCTCCCTCCCTCTTTCTTTCCATTCTATGACTATTCCAGGTTGACTTCACCATCCTCCAGGTATTTTTGCAGTGAGTGGAACAGTAGTGGGTAATCTGTAAGAGCATCCTTCTGGAAATAGCTTGCTCAAGTCTAGAACCCGGACCTGTTATGTAACCCTAGGCAAGTCTCAAACCTTCTCTGTCTTTCTTGAACTGCAACAGAGATATTAGTAGTATGAATCCCTCACACTCATTGTTATGAAGATTTCATTGTTCAAATACATGAAGCTTATTGCCATACTTAACAGTGGCTACTCTCAGGAGTTGTGTTTGGCGGTTGCTTTTACTTCCTTTCCCTTTGTCCACTATTCTACATTCTATACAAACACCTAGATGACTACCTGCTAAAGAACCTTTCTTTAAAACCCACACCATCTGACAACCATGCTGCCTTAAGACCTTGTCCAGCAAATGGTCTTCCCATCACTGCCTATGCACCTCCTCTCTATCTCTATATAAGCCCTTCCCTGTACTTAGGTCCCCAGGATAGTTTCTGGGGAGAAGAAAGCTCCTTCCACTTTTTAGGGTGAGGGCTCTTGAGGGCACTCTTGTCTACCACGTACTGGCTTTTCAATGTGAGCAGATGAACACAGGACTGACAACAACAATCTTAAATTTTGATGTGGTAGACAAAGCAAAATTGAGGTAGTTCTAAAGTGCATGAGAACCTCAATGATATCAAGAAATGTCTAATGCATACGTCAATATTAGTTCTATATAACTAATCCAATCAGTTCTACAGGTCTAGTGTTTGAACTCTGTCATTTAGAGCCAGAAAAAAGCCCAGCCATTGCCTGGCAACTGGCTCAGAAACTAGTTTGCGAATTTTAACTTTATAGCAGATTCCGTGCATTCATCCTACTACCTCATTTCTTCAGTCCTCCTACTCTGTACTTTATGATATTATTATAAGATAAGGCAGTGATATAAGTCAGAATACCTGAAAATTTTTAATAAAGGTAAAAATTCAAGGAAACATGTAGTTAGTTTTGTTTGGTGGAAACATTAGGAATAAAAAGGTAAAGGATAGCACACATTGGAGCATACCATGAAGCATCCATTTCCAAAGCCAAATGTTTTCCAGAAACACAAATTATGTGGCTACTGCAGCCAAATATGACTCAAACCTAGAACAATTTTCACTGAAGCATTTGTGGGGGTAGGGGACTCAGATACAAATGCCATTACTCACTCTAAGTTCACCAGGCAAGCTTACCTTAAAGTACACTCCATTTCCACCTCAGCTTGTGGAGAGAAAACACGGAAAGAGTACTTGTTGAGTAACAAGGAAAAGCTATCCCCAGGATTCAACCAGCACCACACGTGTGTCTTCATTGGCAAGAGCTGGCTCTCCTCAGAGGACTGATGGAAACACGGATTTGTATGGATCTAATCAATAAAAGAATACAGTGGTACAGCAGGATTGAGAAAACTACAACTAATAGGAAATGATCCAGAATTTTGGTATCAAAACAATTAAGTATAAAATTACACTTGAAAGTTTAGTAAGCCTGGCACCTAGTAACATAATCATTCATACATGAAAACCTTCCGTTCCTGAAGGAATCCAAGATAACAAGCAAAATCAGCAATTGATGTGTTAAATAAGCTAGCTACTCAATGGATAAGAAAGATGAAAAAATAATTCTCAGTATGAGAAGGGTCTCCACTGTGTTTCCAAAATGCACTCGTCCTCTGGCAAAAGCACTTCTTTGCTATTATTTATTTTCTCCTAATAATTTCTGATACAATTTAAAAGTGAAAAACCGTGAGGCAGGATATGGTGATCAAATATCTCATGCATTACTGCCTTCTTTCTAGCTGTCTTGAAGAATAATTTTACTTTTAAATAACTCCTTCCATGAATATCATTTAGATTGAAATCACAAGTAATTAACATATATCAAAGACAAAACTATCAGTGCATTAATTATTTTAGATTATATTTTTCCACTGACTGCCTCCATATTAGCAGAGATAATTAGTTTCCTCAAAAGGAATTTTTAAAATACCTACTGAAAGGCACTTCAAAATTTGCAAATATAAGCTGGTCAGCAGTCTTAGAAGGTAAGGGTGCCTGCCTGCCACCACACTTGAGGACATAACTCAATCCCCAGGACCCAAATGGAGAAAGGAGAGAACCAACTTCAGCAAGTTGTCCTTTGCTCTCTACACACATGCCTCCCCTAAACACAAAATGTAATAAAAAAAATCTTAAATGCAATCAAGGTAAAACTGGCCATTTCTGTAAGTCAAATAGCCAATTTTTTATTTTACTATTAGGTTTTGAAATAAAGAAGCCTTACTACATGATAACGTAATCTACCGTAATGCAAACAAATCAATAGATTCTGAACAACTCTCCCTGTGACCTCTTCCTCTATTACATTATGCTAAATTACTTTTTCCTAGAGAAATCAACCATTTCCCTAGCATACCAACTTAATCACTCAGCATTTTTTATTGATCAGCCATTTATGTGTGTGTGTGTGTGTGTGTGTGTGTGTGTGTGTGTGTGTGTGTGTGTGTGTATTTGTACATATACATATGACTGTCTGAGATGGAGACTATCATTATTTATGCAATAACATATCCCAAGGAATTAGGAAAGCTTGGTTTAAAACATCAGATCCTCAGGCAGTTATTAAATCTACCCACAAAAAAGTGAATTAATGGTCCTTGGTAATCTTTTTCTTAAGTTATTTAGACAGTGGACTCCAGAGTAAACGTGATACTCCAAGGACGTATACTGATCAATCCTTAAGTTAAGCCTAAATACATATTATTTACTGTTAACATATATATGAAATTATATACAATCAAAGTTTCTAACAAAATTTTTTATTGATTCTTTGGGAATTTCACATCATGCACCCCAATCCCATGTATTTTCCAGTTCTTTCATATCTGCCCTCTCCCCTTGTAACCTTCCCACCAAAAGAAAATAAAAATAAAATAAAATAAAATAAAATAAAAAACACCTCACCAACCCCTCTGGGCACAACCTGCTCCTCTGGGCACAGTCTTTTCTCACTCCCTCCCATCACAGCTGTCACGTCTCCAGTTCCACTGGACATGTACCATTCTTTCTGTCTTTCCCCTCCCCATCACATATTCATTAGTCATAGTGGCACTGGAAGCTGCAATGTGTCATGTAGTATACCTTTTGGCCCAAACAGCTTTACTTGCAAATGTTCATTGTAATGAGTCATTGGTCTGGTTCAAGGCCTCTGGCTTCTGCTACACCGTCAATACTGGACCCTTGCTGGAAGCCACAGAAATATGAAGTAGGAATTCAGCTGACTATGGCAAAAGCTAATACCTGGAAGAAGCCAAGGGCCTTCCAGGGGATAAAGCCAGGGCTTAAGGAGACTTGGTGATATTGGCTTTTGAATATTACCTGTTTCCTGCTATGAATTTCTCATGTACTATTGTAGCTTTTCCATTCCTAGAACAGTGTGTTTGATCATCCATTGGGCACAATTAAAGTATTTGGACACATCTCCCAACTGTGCTAAAGCAGCAACAGCAACACAGCCACACCCCCAGTTTCAGGCCTTTCTGTAACTTTCGTCATTAGCAACATCCAGCCAGGACCTTCTCTGGATGAAAGTATCTTATCTGAGATACTCCCCAGACTTTCTAAGAACAGATATAAGCATCCAGACTATCTGTCTGAGAAGGCCTGGCAGATGTGCTAATTAAGCTTATTAACCTTCCCCTTTCCAAAGTCTTATCTCTAGTTTTAGATCTACCTTTAACAATTAACTTAGAACTAAAGGGTTTCGACTTACAGGTATATCAAGCTGTGACATAGGTTACCTAGCTACATTTTCCCCACCCTGCCAGAAAACATGGGCAGCCGAGACAGCTTGGACAGTAAGGGGCCAAAGGAAAAAAGAAGGCAGTTTTATTTTCACCCATGACTTAGTGACTTATAGATCCTTAACATTTTAACTAACTACTTCTAAGAACATAGTTTGAGCACATAAAATTCCCTTTGCTTAGATATTAACCGAATTTAGCCCTTAGTTGATTAATTTCCCCATTAGTCACTTCCCTTTTGGGTTGCAGATGATGGCTGACAGCTACTGCTCTTTTGTGTGGATCTTATTGTCCCTCCTTTTGATCCTGAGGGAATTCAAGTCTGGTGACCTTGCCTTAGCCAGAACATTGCTATTGCACAGGTATATAACTGTAAACCTCAGAGACTTGAGGAGAACTAGGTTGGAGGACTAGAAGAGAGAACTAGAAGAATGAGATGGAAGATGAGGAAGAGCCAGGTAGGGAAAAACAAAATGAGGAAGAACTAGATGAGAAAGAAGATGGGAAAGGAGCTAAGAGGGAAAGAACTAGATGAATGAGAACCTAGATGGAGTGGAACAAGATGAAGGAATTAAGATAGCACTTAGAGGGAACATAAGAAAAATGTAGAGAGAAATCAGGCAAGAAAGGAGCTAAATAAGAGAACAGAATAGAAGCTGTGTAGAGAGAGAACTGGCTTAGAAGAATAAAGTGAATGGACAGTGGCACAGATGTCATAGGTGTAAGCAACCACTTTTTAAAATTGGACTTAAGGCCCAATCCATGAGATGAACCCCATACCTGACACTGCTAAAGTAGACAAGAACCTAAGACTAAACAGATCATGGGCCTAGGTGAAAACCTACCACTATTATTCTGCTAAAGCAGTAGTTCTCAACTTGTGGGTTGTGACCCCTTTGGGGGTTGCCTAACAGATATCCTGCATATCAGATATTTACATTATGATTCATAACAGTAGCAAAATTACAGTTATAAAGTAGCAACAAAATAATTTTATGACTAGGGGTCACCACAACATGAGGAACTATATTAAAGAGTCGGAGCATTAGGAAGGTTGAGTATCATTGTGCTAAAGAAACATAACAATAAAATGACTCCTAATGACATATTGCTATAGCCATAGAGTGGAGCATCACTCAACCCTCATTGGAGAAGCTTCTTTTTTTTTTTTTTTTTTTTTTTTTTAAAGGGGAGAGCGCGAACGCAGTCCCCCACTACCACAAATTATGCAGTCGAGTTTCCCGCATGTGGGGAAATCGCAGGGGTCAGCACATCCGGAGTGCAATGGATAAGCCTCGCCCTGGGAAAACCACCTTCGTGATCATGGTATCTCCCCTGCCAGGTAAGTATGGAGAAGCTTCTTTTAAGTAGACAGTAATTAACAAAGAGATCCACAGCTGGACAATATGGAAAAAGTGGGAGACTTTGGACACTCAGCCCTAAATGGATGTCTTTATCAACTCCCTACCCTCATGGCTTTATGCAGAAGAGGAGTGGAAAAGATTCTAAGAGCCACAGGCATCTCCTGCCCCAATACCATCTCTGTCCTAAATCAAACTTATATATATATATAAATCTAAGGTTGTTCATAATCTAAAATTTTATTCAACTAAATCACTAAAACTCCTTAAGGTAAATCAGCAGTTTTAACACAAAAAAATTTTTTTAAAGAAAAATACTCAATAGTTAAAAATTATGAATCATAAATAATAAAATAGAGAAAAATTACTCCATAGAGTTAAAAGATCTGATTCTAATTCCCATTCAAAAAGTTGCTAACTATATAAGATCATGCCTTTTCTAGAACCTTGACACTGTAAGTTGTTAAATACAATAACAAATTTCCAAAAGCAATACCAAGAAAAGAGTAAAAATATATTTTCCAGATTAACATTCCTCCAATCTCAGAAACAAACTATAAAATAAAGAATGCTTCTGAGAAAAATATTGAAAGGTATTATCAAGAACAGTCACTGACTGTTCAGGTTGTATATAATCAGGACACAACAGCTATTGATCTTTCAAAGCTCTACCTTTAAAATGGTTAACTGACAAACCTGTCTAGGTGGAAAGACGGCCTTTGACATCAGAAAAATTATAGGTACAAGAACAGCTGGTACAGATGCAGCTAAATGCTCCACATATTGAAGAATCGACCAGTCCTTGAAATTCTCATATATATGTCATTAAAAAGAAATCTGGAAAATGGAGAATGGTAACAGATTTGATAGCTATTAACAAGGTGATCCAGCCAATCGGTTCTTTGTAATCTGGAATTCCCTTGTCTTCTTTATTACCTAAATTAGGTCTATTATGGTGACTGATTTCAATGACTGCTTTTTTTTACTATACCTTTACAAGAACAGGATAGAGAAAAATTTGCCTTCACAGTGCCTACTTATAATAATTCTCAGCCTGTTAAAAGGTATCAGTGAAAAATTCTGCCACAAGAGATGTTAAACAGCTCCACCTTGTGTCAATATTTTGTACAACAGATGTTAGAAATAATTAATAAACAATTTCCTCAACCTATAATTTAACATTATATGGATGATATCTTACTGGCTGATTCAGATACATATACCTTAGGAAAAGTGTTTGATGAAGTAAAGAGAATTTTGCCTTGTTGGGGATTACAAATTGCTTCTGAAGAAATACAAAGAGGGGATTCTATGAATTACCTAGGATATAAGATAGGTTTACAGAAAATTCAACCATGGAAAGTACAAATCAGGAGAGAATAATTACGAACTCTTAATGATTTTCAAAAATTGCTGGAAGATATTAACTGGCTACAGCCCACAATTGGATAAATAACTCAAGAACTAAGTAACTTATTTCAAACCTTACAAGATGATAAGGACCTAAACAGTCCAAGAAAACTATCAACTAAGACTGAGAGAAAATTAACTTTGGTAGAAAAGAAATTACAGGATGTACATGTGGGTTGTTTGGATCCAGAGCTTGATTGTATTCTGGTTATTTTACCTTCTATGCATTCTCCCACAGGAATTCTTATGCAGAGAGAAGATAATATATTAGAATGGATATTTTTAGTACACAGAGTAAAAAATTAAAGACCTATGTAGAAAGGGTTTCAGAATTGATTCTGAGAGGAAAATTGAGACTCCATCAATTAACAGGATTGTACCAGATAGAATTGTGGTAACTTTTTACTAATGCTCAAATTTCCTCATTATGAACATTGGCAAAGAGTTTGACGTAATTTGGGGGGAAAGATTAGCAACAAATATCCCAAAAGCAAGAGACTTCAGTTTGTAAGGAGAACTAATTGGATTCTTCCTTATATTGTATGAGGAACACCAATTTCTGGAGCCCTTACATTTAATACTAATGCAAATAAAGCAGGAAAGGCAGGTTATAAGTCAGGAAAAATAAGTAAAGTGGCTCAATGCCCTTATGATTCTGTTCAAATGTCAGAATTATATACTATTCTCATGGTATTATTAGACTTTTCCAGAACCTCTTAACATAGCTACTGACTCAATATGTAAAAAGAATTGTTTTACATATTGAAACTACTGAATTTATTCCAGATGATTCACAATTAACTTTGTTATTTGCAAACTATAACAAGTAATTGGAAATAGAAATGATTCCTTGTATATAACACATATCATCTCCTATAGGGGTCTACCAGGCCCTCCAGCACAAGTAATGATTAAATTGATCAGCTACTGGTGGGAAATGTGCTAGAAGTCTCAGAATTTCATAAGAAAAACCATGTTAATAGCAAAGGTTTGAAGAAATATTTTTCTATCACTTGGCAATAAGCCAAGGAAATTATAAGAAAATGTCCTAGTTGTTCTTTGTGTAACCAAACTTCATTACCAAACCCAAAAGGTACTCAAAGAAATGAAATTTGGCAAATGGACGTGGTTCATTTTGCAGAGTTTGGAAAATTAAAGTATGTATACCATACCATAGATACATATTCAGGGTTTCAATGGGCAGCTGTTTTGAGTTCTGAAAAGGCTGATTCTATAGTTACACATCAGAAAAGAAACTTATAAAAGAGATGTAAAATTTATAAGGTTGAGAGACATAAAAGTTTAAGTTGTTTATCTAAGAAAATGTTTCAAGGTCTAAAAAGGTATTTTTAGGATGATAATACAAGTTATGATAGAAAGTGGTTTAGGTATAAAACTTTGGACTCATCAAGATAGGATAGATAATAGAGTAATTTCTCCAAACTTGCCAAATATGAATGGATTGGAAATTGTAAATATAATTCTTACTGATAATTGTTTTTAAAGTATATAGTTTTACTATGTTAAAGTTAAAACCTTCCTTTTTTATTTAGACAAAAAGGGGGAAATTTAGGTGAAGCAATTACCTAAATTGTTCTATTATTAATAAAAACTCAGGAATCAGATATTGGGGTACAAACCTGATAGATCAAGAAAGCAGCCACAGAACCTCTAGCTGACCCTCTCTCTCCACCTTCCCAAATCAAAAGGGCCATGAATCTCTTCAAGCTTCTCCCTGTCTCTTCCTGTGCCTCTCTATCTGGGCCCTCAAAAATCTCTATGGCTAATTCCAGTCAGCTAGTTGTGGACTCTGCCCCTTGATTCAAGGTTTAACCTTATTAACAGTCTCAGAGTATCACAGTGCAATCAAATATCCCATAACATACATATGTTGTAAAAATCATATTGGTTTATTTCTCTGCACATGATATTATCAGTAGGATTTGAATATTAATACAATCTAGAAAAGTCTAAGAGTTAATTAAAAAAAAAAGAAATGTAATCATCAAGACAACTCAAAGGATCTACCAATCCAAAACTAAAGTGCAGTGTGTATTCCTCCTGTCATGTCCCTGGATTAGAGGATAACAGATCAAAACCTTGCAGAATGTTGAGTGTTGTCACATAGCTTTCACTTGGGGCCAGATATGTCATCATCCACCCTTCCTTTTCTGAATGAAGTAAGTCTAAACAACATTCTGCAGAAACAGGAACCAAAATACCCCTGACTCCTTCCCTAAAGGTGCTTCAGTAACAACAAACTTCTTTATTTCATTAGTTCATTAGAAGAGTATTAGAAATTGGGCACTGAAAAACAAGTACTTTTATAAAAACCCGCAATATACCCACTTCCAGAAATTCCATATTATACTTCTCATCACAACACTGACTCGTGCATTCAATTGTACTAAGAACCTGATCCAGTTTGGCATTACAGTAAATACCAGGGACACAAAGTTAGTCCAACTCCCCATAGTCAGTGAGCTTAAGTGATCTCAACTAAGGAAAATAAGAAAGTGAAGATCCGGAGATGCACTACTGCTGAGCTCCAGGGGTGCTAACTATGACACTGACACATTGTCAAGGCACTCAGCACAACATGAGAACAGCATACAAAGTTTTAAAATGTTATTTATTCAGGGTTGAGATAGGGTAAATTCAGTTCTACTTAAAAGTTTCCCCAGTACTTAATTTAATAGGCTATCATTGCAACAACAGTTCAAGTAATGACTTATACAATAGAAATCACAGGGCTAGGGTATAGCTCAGAAGTAGAGCACAAGCAAGGATGGGGGTAAAAATATAAAATGGCTTAAATGTCATAAATCAGTGGATTTAGTTCCATAATATTTATTTCACCACAAATAAAATACTCCAAAGTGAATTCTCATACACACAACCCATTCTCATATACAAAGGAGTTTGCAACTGAAAGAGAATAGTTACATAGTCTCAGGATCACCCCTGCAAAACACTGATGCTCAGGCTATAGAGCAAAGGATTAAAAGTCCAGCCTACAGAAAATGCTTTAAGTGAAAATTATCTACAAAACAATGAAATAGAATACATTCCACAATTTACAAATATTCACTTCTATACAAAGAATCATAGAAAAGTGTTGATAAAAATCCTCTAACACTGAAGTGAATTTACTTACTACCTCATCTGTTCCCATAAAACCACACATTACATAGCTACAGGCATTCTTTGGTTTGGGGGTGAGGAACACTGCACGTGTCCCTTGGAGGCAGGAGGAGGATCTCAGGTGTCCTATCACTTTCTTCTCTATTCTCTTGAGACAGAGTCTCTCACTGAACCTAGAACTCACCATTTTTTAGCTAGGCCAGCTGGCCAGCAAGCTGCAGGTACACTGTCTCAGCTCCCTTTACCACTATGGTTACAGACGCACATGGTGTCTTAGTTAGGGTTTCTACTGCTGTGAGGAGACATGCCATTCAGATATCTCTAGCTTCTCTCTGTCTGAGAGGAAGTGTAAGCTTAGAGTTTCCTCCACTATCTATCGGCTGACCGTTTGCTTCATCTTTTTATTTTAGTGTCCTCATCTATGACAAGTGATCTTGCAGTGAACCCTTATAAAGGAAAGCATTTAATTGAGGTTGGCTTACAGGTTCAGAGGGTTAGTCCATTATTATCATGGCAGGGAGCATGATGGCATGCAGGCAGACATGGTGCTTGAGAAAGAGTTGCTACACGTTGATATGTAGGCAACAGGAAGTAGACTGAGACACTGGATAGTATCTTGAGCATATATGAGAGCTCAAAGCCTGCCTCTACAGTAACACACTTCCTCTAACAAGGGCACATCTCCTAATAATGCCACTCCCTTTAGGGGCCTTTTTCTTTCAAACTACCACACATAGCTTTTCACATGTGCACTAGGGATGAGAGCTCAGGTTTCTCACAGAGGAAGTGTTCTTCCTTACCCATGTTACAGGTATTTTTGGGAATTACTTGGCTAATCTAGTAACGAACAAAATTACAATTTACACACAGGCAATCATTTTCCATTAAATCTAACCATTCAAATTCAGCTCTGTACTATGAGAAATACAGTTTATTATTTAGAAATTTACCTTGCAAGTATGAGACAAATAGATTCTGATATAAATTCCCTATTTCCAAACCTTAGAATAAACAGGCATCTCTAATCAGATGGTAGAAGGGCAAGAGGCAAAGGGTTAAAAATGAATCAATATACTCACTGGTTTGATTCGAAGCTGACTACCCACCACCTCTAGAATGGCATGTCTTCTGGATACTCTTTTGTCTGTTATCTACAAGGGGAAAACATGTCAAATTTAGCTACCTCCTTAAAAGATAAACAAAACCCTTAGCAACAGCTATGAAATTAGTAGCTAGACATTAAATATATTATTAACTCAATAACTACATGTCAAACAACTGCCCTCATTTAACAGATAACGAAACAATGAAGAGAAGAGGGGACTTACCCAAATCATTAAAGAGTAAATGACTACCTGGGATCTACACATCCCCAAACATCCCAATTCCTACAATGAAATCTAGAGAGGATTCCTTCCAGTAAAATCTACCAAGTAAGAAAATATTCAGGATGTACTGGTTAGGGAACATTTCAAATATAAAATTTCAGCTTGTCCTAAATGTTAAGCGGTAAATGTGAAGGGTGTGACCACAAGGTTAGATAGACGCAGATCCAACAACCTCATTCCTGTTCTGGGGCCGCGTGTGGTAGTTTAAAGAAGAAGAAGGAGGAGGAGGAGGAAGAGGAGGAGGAGGAGGAGGAGGAGGAGGAGGAGGAGGAGGAGAAGGCGGCAGGAGGGAAACAGCCCAAGTCAAACATTACAGTGAAGAAAAGATCAACATCTATGTCTTCAATATAATTACTTCTTGCTTTGAGTCAGCAATGGTCAATTTACACTCATAACTATTTACCCACACCAAAGTTCAAAACTGCTTCTGTTTTAAATGCTGAAATGATCATCCTTCCCACCTCACTGTAAACGTAATAGTTGAGAATAACTTTTTTATCCCTGGCTGATACATGATAAAAACATCTTAAGCAACAACTATATGACATTATGACGATATGACCAGTCTAATGATTAGTTTATTTACTATCAAACACATGAAGTCTAGCATTATATACAGCAGGACCAACATTATCTCTCAAAGCATGCTATAGCAATGTATAGATAAAATTAAACCCATTAAGGCTGCAAAAACATAGAAACTGTCACCAATCAGTACTCATTTTTCAAAATCATGTAGCACTTCCACACTTAATGACTCTAAATGTACAGGGCCACAACAATGTGAGGACCACAAAAAGTAATTAGTTCAAAAAAAACAGTTAATTTAAAACATAATAATTTCTAGGAAAAATATCTTCAAAGCCTCATTTAAAATATGGCTATTTCAAAGAAGTAACTATACTAACTTAAAAAAAAAAATCAAAGTTTAAAGACTCCGTCATTGTTTTGTGACGTGTCCCTGAGTGGACAGAATCAGCAGCAGTTACTAATGACTCACCTTATCGTTCAATAAGCTACATGCTGAGCTACATACTGGGACTTACCATAAAGCTACTGCAGCTATTATTCACTTTACAAATCCCGATACTGAAAGCCCAGAGGATTGGATAACTTAGGTAGTCACTCACAGACTACGCAGTGTTCAAAATCCTTACTCTAATAAAAACAAATGATATAGAAAACATTTACATATGACTATACCTAAATAAAACCATTCAGAAGCAATAACAGAAATACAAATTACTCTGCGGCTCAGAGTACAAAGTTCCTATTTTTATTTTGAGTATCGAGATCTCATTGTTATTTCACCACAAATGGATTTGCTGTCAGAGGAATGTTGTGATAAAACCACGATATACAAAGAAGTTTCCTCTAATAGTCTACCTTAGTTTTCTTTCCTTTTTATACTATCTAATCCCAATCTATCTTTTAACAGACTTAACACTAGGAAGAAAAGGATATTTTGAATAACACAAAAGTATAGTGTGACCTCTAGTGGGTACTCGGTTTATTTCATTACAAACATCTCTTGACCAAAAAAAAAAAAAAAAAAAAAAAGTGTTTTTGTTGGGTACAGGGCTGCATGCCCATAACCCCAGCTCTTGGGAGTGAGGCAGGAAAATTGCAAGTTCAAGAGCAGCTTGGGCTATGTAGTGAGAGAGACCCTGTCTTTAAAAACAAATACATTTGAAATAACCTAAATTCTAACACACCAACACATCCTCCAAGAAGCCAAAGAAAGCAACAGCTAGAGCAAACCATATCAGTGACTAAAGTACAACCAGGAAACAGAGATTACAAAACACTTCAGCTAGGGGCTGGAGAGATGGCTCAGTGGTTAAGAGCACTGACTGCTCTTCTAGAGGTCCTGAGTTCAATTCCCAGCATCAACATGGTGGCTCACAACCATCTGTAATGAGATCCGGTGCCCTCTTTTGGCCTGCAGGCATACATATGGACAGAACACTGTATACATAATAAATCAAAAGAAATGCTTTTTTAAAAAAAAAAGAACAAAACACTGCAGCTAACATGCTCAAGAAAGACAGAAACAGCAATCTGACAGTCTATGTGGGAGCAGGAAAGGCATGTGGTAACGGGAAAGAAGGGAGGAAGAAAACAGGAAAGCAGGTCAGTGAGAATACAGAAAATAGCACTCAGGTGGGAGATGACGGCAGTCCATCTTTCCAGAAGAAAAGGAACCCAAAAAAGATGCTTAAAGAGGAAAGTTTAACTTCTGACTAGATAAAACTGGCTGCTGAGTCTCTAGCCTTTGCTATTGCTAAAAACCAGCCATCAGGTAGGCTCATCTCTTATTAGCAGGGCTAAGAAACCATGGCAGGACCTGTTTTTATAAAACAGAGGCCCAAATCCACCCCTGTCCTCACCAAATCCATAGTAGTCTGCACTGGCGGCAGGATTTCTTGCCCCTCTGAAGCAAGCTACAGCAGGTTAGTCTCCGACATCTGACTACCAAAGGAAGTACATGCTGCGCTGCAGGTTTAGCCTCATTCAAAAGAAGCACGTTCCCAGGAAACTCTTCCCAACCTGTGTGCCACCCAACAAACTAAGGCAAACTACGCAGTGTTACGTAAAGATGTACACAATCACCGTGGGGAAGAGGTAGGCAGCATGTGAACTTCCGCTTCATCCATACTGTGCCATGCATACCTGTTTCTTCTCTCACACACACCCCTAGAGCCAGCATACAAAGGGCAACCTCAAGCACCACTTTTCCTATTCCCAAAACAGCCTTAAAGCTACGACTAACGGCTCCACACGGACGCTGGAAACTAGCCATCTGACTACACTCTTATACCCTGGTATGAGCTGACCCAGGTCTGCTCCACTAACCCAAGACAAAACACCTGCAGGGCGGGGACCCTGTATGCCTCACTCATCTTTGTGTGCCTACAGTGCTACAGTCATCGAACGGTGTGCACAAAGTGGACACTATAGGAGATATGGCACGGGGGGGGGGGGGTTACAGATATAATTAGGGAAATAGATATAAACATAGCCAACCAAAAAGATCATAAACTTACTGAAAACACTGAGGATTTTTTTTGTGATGTGATTTTTAAGGTTTTATCTTTTATTATATATGTCAGGATATGCATGTGTGTGAAGTGCCAGGAGAGGCAGAATTACAGGTGGTTGTGAACGGCCCAACATAGGTGCTGGGAACTGAACTCAGTCCTCTGCAAGAAGCCACAGGTTCTTAACAGCTAACCCTTCTCTCCAGCCCCTTTTGATATTCTTACTTGACTGCCAGGATCTCTAGAGTGGCCTTTGTAAATGGTATGTCTTGTGGCAATGCCAAATGGTGGGATACTACCGAATACGATTTCATAGTGTAATCTGCAAATGTTCTGGTTCCTAATCTTCCCAAAGAGGAGAAAGAATATATAGCTTAGTGGCCATTTGTATATGTATCATCTTTTAATGACCAGTTTATAGCTCAACTTTCTCATCTGAACGAGGCTAATAAAAAGCACCTGACTTTAAATTAGACTATCTCTTTAGACCAATGACTGGCTCACTACCCAGACTACTTAAGGGTTAATTACTGATATTACTGAAAGGACTACTACTATTATGATAAGATCCACTGGCCCTGCAGACGAGGCCAGGGGATAAAAAGAAAGAGTTAACTGGGTTAACCAACCTTTTCTGTAATGGGCCACACAGTACTGTAAATATTGTTAAGTTTTTCAGGTCAACACGAAATACGTTAACCTTGGAGTAACTAAAATACTGGCCCTTAAAAGCTAATAGGGTTTTTGTTTGTTTATTTGTGTCTGTTTACATTTTACATCTTATAACCGAACTTAGTTATCTCAACCTGGATTTGACCCTGGTTTGTCAGCTGGAGAGGATGATAATGATGTTAACACATTCAGTACTTTTTACAGATACCAAAAAGAAATGTCTGTGCGTTGACTAACGTTGACTGAAAACGTACCGCCCTCAAACTAAAATCTTGACAAGCGGAGCCAAGCCGTGGAGTTCCCTAGGACAGGAGACAGGGCCTCAGCTGAGCAAACTCCGGCTGCCCGAGCCCGGGAGCACCTCCCACACTTACTCCCAGCAGAGGCCCGCGGCCTATCACCGTCTGCCCCGGCCCCACGGGCACCCGGGGACCGCCATCCAGAGGCTGCAGAAAGAAGTCCAAAGACATGGCGATGACAGCAGGTTTCTTCGCCAGGAGATGCCTCGCAGCCACCACCACGAGACACACGGGGCATGTCCCGGAGGGGTGTGAGACCTGAGGCTCCTTCACTGGTGAGCGAGCCTCCTCCCTTTCCGGAATCACCACGCCACGCAAGCCAGTGACTCAAGCAGGGACTCCCCGTCAGCTCACCGCCAAACTACTCCTTAAAAGCTGGAGCTCACACAGCCCTTCCTCCCACAGAACTCGTGGAACGCTGGGACTTGTAGTCCTTGACCCCTCCCTTCCGCTCCTTTCTGGAGGGCAGGCCTCATAGAAAAACTACCAATCCCAGAAGGCAATATGAGCATCTCTGCGCCTGTGCAGATTCGAGTTGCGGGGGTGGGCGGAACCCGCTACAGTAGTCCTGACGTCAAGGTTCGTGGAGAGTTTTTACCTGGGTGTTTAAACAGCCACATCGCTGGCCTGGTGGCCCTGTGACCTCCCGACAGGAGGACGTTCTTTTCCTTTCTGTAAGGAGGAGGCTTGGGCTAGAATAAGGCCTCAGTGGCAGGAGTGTCTTCCCTACCCCAAAGAGGATGCCTGGACTTAGATTTTTAGGGTTCAGCCTCAGGAGGGTTTTTTCTTTGCTGTGCAGGAGTCCCATGCTCAGTCAGGGATCTGCCGCCAGTGGGCCTTCTCTTCTTTACGGCAGAAGCCTGGCTTAGGCGCTTGGCCCGCGGAGCCGGAGAATCTTCCTTCTCTATAGAGGAGGCCTGTTCTCTCGCTGGGAATCTATAGAGGCACCAAAAAGAAATGGGGGAGACCTGTGGGAAGTGAATATACCGGAGGTGGGGGGTGGGGGTGGGTGAGGGTGTTTCCTATGGAGAAGCCATGTGCTAAGCTCAGGGCTCCCAGCTAGAGGGGACTTTCTTTTTGGAGGAAGCCTGGCCCAGAGTTTGGCATTGCCCTGTTCGGATCTTTTCCTTTCTTGTGGCTGAGTCCAGACTCAGCAAGGCTTTCCCTTCCGTATTCTGGCCTGCACTACAGGCAGGACTCTGCAACAGAGTTGGAGTCGGAATGCCTAATGCATCCCTAAGGCAACAAGATCTTCTTTTCCCCAAGAGGCCACCTCGTAACCAGCCTGGTAGGGATGAAGATATTCTAAAGAGACACTTGTGTCCTATCAGAACAATGGGTCCTAAGAGACTGGAATTTCCCCCAGTAAGCTCATGCTGTGTGAAGAAAAAGCCTAAAGCCTGGCCTAGCCAGAGGAGAGAGTTTTCCTCCAAAGAAGATTTCACACAGCCCCATCAACTTGTCAGAACACGGTGCTGGAGCAAGGGCAACACCCCCAGTAACGGGCAGGGCCACACCCTAGCTCAGATATTCATGACTCCGGCCCTCTATTTAAACCTTGCTTTAGGAGGCTGAAGATGGACTTGAGGGTCACTGGAGCTCTTTGTCCCTCCTCCTAATGAAATTTTTTCACAGAACTAAGAAAAACAATTTAAACATTAATACGGAGACACAAAAGACCCACAAATGTCCAAAACAATCCTAAAGGAAAAAAGAAATGGTGGTGTTATCACAATATCTGATTTCAAATTATGCAACAGAGCTATAGTAATGAAAGCAGTGTGGTATTGGCACAAAACATAGCATGGTGGGGGTGGAACAGAGGATCCAGCAGTAATCCTATACATCTAGAGCAAACCTGATCTTTGGTCTCTAAATCAAATGATGCCTGGAAATCTAATTACCTACACATAAAAGAATGAAACTAGATCTTTATCTCCCACTTGCACAAAAATGCACCCCTGGGCATGTCTGTGGGACATTTTCTTGATTAATGATTGATTTGACAAGGCCAACCTCACTGATTTGGTGCCACCCCTGGCCAGGTGGTCATGGGTTGTAGAAGGTGTGATGGAACTTCCCAGCATTTGGGAGGCAGAAGCAGGTGGATCTTCATGAGTCTGGAACCACTCTGATCTATATAATGAATTCCAGGACAGCCAGGGCTACATAGTGAGACCCTGTCTCAAAATCAACTGGAAAAAAAAAAAATGGAAGAAAGGCTGTGCACACAAGCCAGTAAGTGGTTCTCCACGCTCTCTGCTCCAGTTCCTGCCTCCAGCTTCCCGCCTCAAGTTCTGGCCCTGACTTGCCTTCATGATTGTGAGACGTGAGGTATCCACCAGAGAAGACCACTCAGGCATGGGTTCAAGCCAATAGAAAGTCTTTTAGCCAGCCGGTGACTACATTGGTGTTCGGGACCCGAATGCATTCCCAAGCCTTTCTCGGGTGATTTTTTTTAAGCACAAAATCACACCCTGGGTTGACAGACCTCAGTTAGCCTGAATCAGAACTAGGGAAGCCAAAAAGCAAGTTTACTATTTAAGGACTTTCCCAGAACTATGGACTTGGCTGGGTTAGGTCTTTGTTCTTGCTTTGGCAGGTGGTGCTGCCTATGTCCTGGGTTCCAAGGCCTGAATGGCACTTCCATCACGGCATCAGTTGTACTAAGGTCTAGGGGCCTGTTACATCATAGTGTGTTACAACGGCAAGCTGACGTAAACCCTTTCCCGCCCAAGTTTCATTTGGTTATGGTGTTTTATCACAGCAATAGAAGCCTAGACCAGAACAGAAACTGGCACTAGGTTTGTGGGATATTGCAGTAACAGACCTGACCATGTTGTTTTTGAGACTTTGGGCTTTTGGGCTGAAAAGGAACTGAATGCTTAGAGCTTACTGGGCTGTTCTGTGGGAGCCTGGGAGATAATGCTGAGAGCAGTGAAGCTGATGGAGGCCTGGTTGGTTCGGCTTCAGAGGAGCCAAAGACTATCATGGCAGTTTGTGTGATATTATGTGTCAGGAATCTGTAGTTTATGGTCAGCTGGAGCTAAAACTCAGCTGTGATTAACAGGAGACCAGCAGCACTAAAGGGATGCCTTTGCTCTGCTGGGACAGTCTACACCGGTTAGCCAGAGCTGAGATATTAGTCGTAAGAAGAGTCCAGCATCACTGAGGTGAAATCTGGAAGTATTTCCTCAGGGTCAGCACACAGAAACTGTGGTCTGGAGGGGACCGAGGCTGCTCCTCATGCTGGCAGCCGAACTAGGTAATGTGGTACCTGTCTTGAAGGCATTAAGGTGTCATGGAGAGTAGCTGAGGCTTGGGCCCAGGAGAGACCACTGGTGAAAGGTTAAGGTTGGGGTTACACACACACACACACACACACACACACACAGTACCAATTTCCACAAGATTACTGCAAATTGTCACTCTTCTTACTTACTCCCGAAAGATTCATAATCCTAATACCAATGGTTCCATTAAGACTCTGAAGTTGGGGTTGTAGAGGTGGCTCAGAGGTTAAGAGCACTGGCTGGTCTTCCAGAGGCCCTGAGTTCAATTCTCAACAACCGATGGTGGCTCACAACCATCTACAATGGGATTTGCTGCCCTCTTCTGGTATGCAGGCAGAATATTGTATCCATAATAAATAACAAATCTTTAGAAAAAATAAAAGACTCTTAAGTTAGCTAGAATGACAGTTAATACTCCTTACCCCTTGGTATCAGCTGATGCAAGTCTGTCCACCAATCCAAGAGAAAGAACATTCTTACAGTGTGAGCTACGCTACATATCATATTTATCTTTGTATACCACATCTGTAAAACATTGCGTGTAAGTGGACACTACACAGGAGATGTTGAATGGGGATGGGACAATCACAGATGTACTTTGGAAGAAATAAATACACTGTATAATGAAATCTGAAAATCTTCAAACTTCTTTTTACATATAATTTATTTAATCTTATTTTATGTGCATTGGTGTTTTGCCTGCGTGTAAGTCTATGTGAGTGTGTTGGATACCTTGAACTAGAGTTACAGGCAGTTGTGAGCCACCATGTGGGTGCTAGGAATTGAACCTGGGTCCTCTGGAAGAAAAGTCAGAATTCTTAACCATTGAGCCATTTCTCCAGTCCAATCTTCAAACTTCTAATCTGCCCCCAAGAGAGCAGAGAATATATAGTTTAATAGCTGCAGATATATGGGCTATATGGGGTAGTGGTGGTGGTATTGATTTGAGACAGTGTCTATGTAGTCGTGGCTTTCCTGGAACTCACTATGTAGACCAGGCTGGCCTCAAATTCACAGAGATCTGCCTGCCTCTGCCTCCTGAGTGCTAGGATTAAAGGGTATGCACCACCATGCCCAGCATTTTTATTTTTTAATAGCCAGTTTGTGGTCCAATTGTTTTCATCTGATTTATAACATTTATAACATGGAAGGACACTGGTGCCATGGGATACACTTAGCCTGTCCAAAACCTTTTTGAGTCTTTTTATCCAAACCCAACATGGAGCCCATCTTTGTCAAGTTATATAAGTGGCGGACAATTTGGGTGAGTCAGGATGTGAAAATCTACCAGTTACCCAGTAGCCCCAAGAATACCTAGGGTAGTTTTACAGGAACAAGTTGTAAAATTTTTCAAAATGACTTTGTTAGGTATCATACAGCTGAGCCTGCCCCATGCACCTTGTGTGAATGGTCCCCACCCCATTCCTTCAGGTTCACTTTGTATGGATGGTCCCTACCCCCATTCCTTTAGATTCACTTTGTATAGATTGGTTACTCATCCCCTTCAGGTTCACCTTGTGTGGACTGGTCCTCAACCCCATTTCTTTAGATTCACCTGTTTGTTTTTAGATGCCTTTCTAAATCTGTAAAAACTCTCTGGGGTTAGCTTGATGTAATCTAGCTAATGAAACCTTCCTATAGACCTTTAAAAAGCAGGGCCCTTGGTCACTATCCCATTACAAAAAGCAGTACCACAAAGAGAACGTTGAGAAAGATCTCCGAAGGCACACACTTGACTATTTCAAGTAAATGCAAATTGGTCTTAGGATCTAGCATCCAAGAGAATATTTTTTAAAAAAATGTATTAGCAAGGTGGAAAGACCCTAATCCTGATCCAGTTGTTCAGTCAAAACAACAATGTTGAACACATAAGTGGGAGAAACTATTTAGCTTCATAACCCACTGTCATTCTCTAGGGGCCATCTGGCTTTTGCACTGGTTATACTGGGCTTTTGAAATGGTATGGAATCTAAAAAAACAAAGAGGCACACTTAAAGAGGAAGGGACATGAATCTATACAAGGTGCCTCCAGAAAAGATTGTCACATAACACTAACTCTAGCCCTAGCCATAAGCATTGAGCCTATCACC